TTCGTCGATTGGTCAACAACTGAAGTGCTTTACTTATTCTGGTGGAACCACTAAAGTAGGTGGACAATATTAAGGGGGAAACTAGATCTTCTTTGGAAAACATAGCCTTAGAATTAACACAGGTCAACCGACCCACTGTCTCTTAGTGAGGGTAAAATACACCTAACCACTTTGTAGTCGAAACGAGAAATGGTATGAGTGCCACTGATTACTGTAATGTAGATATTTGTAGACAATTTTGCTTATTGCCAAAACGTTTATACATTCACTGTGTTATAATAGACCAGAAGATAGTCCATATTCCTGGTTTACTATTATGTAAGGATGAAAATCTTTAGGGAATACTAGTTCAACCGTCCTGGATACTTCCAGTTGACTATAATGTACGGGATGTTAAGAAATGATCTTTAACCTGATACACCGATTTTATTTCACAAAGCATAGGACGACTTGGAGGAATTATGACGGAAAACGCCAAACACTCGACAGCGAAACATGAAAGAGAAAAATTTCCTATGAAAGGACTAGTGGAATACCATTGTATGTCTTTGACCACGACTCTAAAGTCGTAGCTGAAGACCCAAATAAAACCGTCATTGTCTCAGATAGTCCTAAAGCGACTGTCTTGAGTAACAGAAAATAGAAGGTAGTGCAGAAATAAAAAAATCTTTTCTAAGAAGGACCTGACATGCATGAGATTGATCACCATCCAGTGATCAATCAATTGTAATTACATCTCAGTCCTACAGGAGGTTGGTCGCGGCCCGAATAGCTCAGTGGTAACGTCTCTGACTGTGAAGCTGAGTGACGCGGGATCGAATCCGCCAGGGAGCATCAGTTCCCTCAGGATTACAGGTACACCTTGCTGACGAGTGCCAAGTAGCACGAAACCCGGGTCCAGGGTTTCCTGTTGACCACCTCCAACCACCATCTTACCTCAGTATATATAGTGCAAGCAGTGTCGAGCTACCTAGACTGGTGGCCACATTGCACCTCGATCGATAGCATTCGATCAGCACTAAGAAGGACCTGACATGCATGAGATTGATCACCATCCAGTGATCAATCAATTGTAATTACATCTCAGTCCTACAGGAGGTTGGTCGCGGCCCGAATAGCTCAGTGGTAACGTCTCTGACTGTGAAGCTGAGTGACGCGGGATCGAATCCGCCAGGGAGCATCAGTTCCCTCAGGATTACAGGTACACCTTGCTGACGAGTGCCAAGTAGCACGAAACCCGGGTCCAGGGTTTCCTGTTGACCACCTCCAACCACCATCTTACCTCAGTATATATAGTGCAAGCAGTGTCGAGCTACCTAGACTGGTGGCCACATTGCACCTCGATCGATAGCATTCGATCAGCACTAAGAAGGACCTGACATGCATGAGATTGATCACCATCCAGTGATCAATCAATTGTAATTACATCTCAGTCCTACAGGAGGTTGGTCGCGGCCCGAATAGCTCAGTGGTAACGTCTCTGACTGTGAAGCTGAGTGACGCGGGATCGAATCCGCCAGGGAGCATCAGTTCCCTCAGGATTACAGGTACACCTTGCTGACGAGTGCCAAGTAGCACGAAACCCGGGTCCAGGGTTTCCTGTTGACCACCTCCAACCACCATCTTACCTCAGTATATATAGTGCAAGCAGTGTCGAGCTACCTAGACTGGTGGCCACATTGCACCTCGATCGATAGCATTCGATCAGCACTAAGAAGGACCTGACATGCATGAGATTGATCACCATCCAGTGATCAATCAATTGTAATTACATCTCAGTCCTACAGGAGGTTGGTCGCGGCCCGAATAGCTCAGTGGTAACGTCTCTGACTGTGAAGCTGAGTGACGCGGGATCGAATCCGCCAGGGAGCATCAGTTCCCTCAGGATTACAGGTACACCTTGCTGACGAGTGCCAAGTAGCACGAAACCCGGGTCCAGGGTTTCCTGTTGACCACCTCCAACCACCATCTTACCTCAGTATATATAGTGCAAGCAGTGTCGAGCTACCTAGACTGGTGGCCACATTGCACCTCGATCGATAGCATTCGATCAGCACTAAGAAGGACCTGACATGCATGAGATTGATCACCATCCAGTGATCAATCAATTGTAATTACATCTCAGTCCTACAGGAGGTTGGTCGCGGCCCGAATAGCTCAGTGGTAACGTCTCTGACTGTGAAGCTGAGTGACGCGGGATCGAATCCGCCAGGGAGCATCAGTTCCCTCAGGATTACAGGTACACCTTGCTGACGAGTGCCAAGTAGCACGAAACCCGGGTCCAGGGTTTCCTGTTGACCACCTCCAACCACCATCTTACCTCAGTATATATAGTGCAAGCAGTGTCGAGCTACCTAGACTGGTGGCCACATTGCACCTCGATCGATAGCATTCGATCAGCACTAAGAAGGACCTGACATGCATGAGATTGATCACCATCCAGTGATCAATCAATTGTAATTACATCTCAGTCCTACAGGAGGTTGGTCGCGGCCCGAATAGCTCAGTGGTAACGTCTCTGACTGTGAAGCTGAGTGACGCGGGATCGAATCCGCCAGGGAGCATCAGTTCCCTCAGGATTACAGGTACACCTTGCTGACGAGTGCCAAGTAGCACGAAACCCGGGTCCAGGGTTTCCTGTTGACCACCTCCAACCACCATCTTACCTCAAATCTTTTCTACAAACAGTCCACGTTTCGCTGGTAAGTTTTCGACAGACTCTCATCCTGAGTTACAGAATACTTCGTTAAAGCAAGACTATACTTAACCGCAGCATACCAGGGAAAAGCTTGGCTTCATGGAATATTATTGTAACTTGCTAGATTTAAACGATTCTGATCCAAGAACTAGACATGCTCATGGCTTGGCAAGGTTGTGGACATCTATTCGTAATATCTTACAAGATAATTCTAAAGGAGTTCACACCGAAAATGTGGTAAGAATAGTTAAGAGGCCTATAGGAAGTTTTGAACTCTGACCATGTAGACTACTGAAGGTAACTCTAGAGTCGAAGGAACGACAAAATCTTTTGTTAACGGGTGCTTGAATTCAAGATAGTACAGACATCCAAATGAGACCTGACATTTCTCTAGAAGATAGAATAAAGAGGCGGCCTTACTTGGACTGAAAACCCGTCAAAAATATTGAAAACCCTTACTTGGTGGGTTTTCAAGAAGTTAGATCTCGAAATAGAATGTTACGAAGGTCCGTATGGATAGTTTGCTCCCTTTAGGAGTTTTATACACAAATCCTCGTAGACTAAGAAAAAAACTTCATGAGTTGAATATTATCGTATTTTTTAGCCAGGAAACAACACGGTCCAAAGAAAGGCTTTTTATGCTTGGCAAGTCTTCCCATTGCAAGAGAGGATTAAACTGAAGTGAAATATAGTAACATCGCGGTAGACGTAATTTTTAGAGATTGAAATGAGGCTTCTGACAATCTCTTATCTGGCTCTCAAATTGAGACGGTTAGGTTTTGGAATCCACTATGCAATTAGGAAATGGACAAGTGACTTTTCCAGTGATAGGAGACAATGGGTACGGGTAAACAGAACCTTATTAACATGGGAATCTGTGAAGATTGGTGTTCCCAAAGTACAATTGTTTGCTCTCTTTTTTGCTTAATATAAATGGTTCGTCAATTGTAACAAAACCATATATTCCAATATTTTAGATGATACCAAGATTTTGGAGACCCAGTTTTACATCATGAACTGGCATTAGCTGTAATGCCATGTAGGCACTAGTTGCATGGATGAATGGGTGGTTACTAGAAGTAAACCCTAATAAAAGTGTTGTGATGCAATTAAATAACTACGATGATTCGTATCACTACACAATATGTGGACTAGTGTTGCCCAAAGTAAGAAACTATAAAGATTTAGGAGTCATACTAAGTAATGATCTCAAAACAACTAGTCACTGTAAGGCTGCTGCTGCAAAAGGCTATAGGGCATTATGGTCTATTCGTAGATCTTTCCGGTATCTGGATGGGGAAATGTTTAGATTATTATACCCAACTTTCGTACGGCCACATTTGGAATATGGGATTCAAGCAGTGAGTCCTTGTTTCAAATATGAGGCGGATATGTTGGAACGAGTCCAACGCCGCGGGACAAAAATGGTAAAAGGCTTATCTAGCCTATCTTATGAAGACAGAGACACCTCAACTTATTTCCGTTATCTTACCGGCGAATACGGGGTGATCTAATATTAGCATATCGTATCCTGAACGATGACCTTGGTACTAACATGTCCTATTTTTTCCTCCCGTCTAGGGCTGAGCATTTGAGAGGACATTCAAAGAAAGTCCGAAAACCGAGATCAAATCGTTTACGTCTGGAGTTTCGTTTTTCGCACCGAGTAGTGAATTACTGGAATTCTCTAACAGAACACGTAATATCAGCACCTTCTGTTGATATATTCAAGACGAGATTGGACCTCCACAGTGTAACAAACTGCAAGGATTAAAATAGGCCACTAGACCTCCTATCCTTATTACTGAAGACTGAAGGCGAATGGATTTCACGCTAAAACACAAGATCTGTTAAGTTTAATTTTATTGGTTTATCTACAAACTATAGGCTAGCCGAGAATTTTCTAAATTTGATTAACAGTTAACTGTTAATCAATTTGAATTAATTAATCTTTTGAATTCAAAAGAGTAGAAAGACCAAGTATGAATTCGAAAGTATGATGCTAAATACAGTCAGATGTTATAATCATCGATCCAGATAAACTTTTATCCGAACCCAATTACATTTGCAAGGCTCCCTTCTAACCAGATGGAAGAAGGGGAAATAAAAGCAAACTTTGGGGGAAATTCTAGGGAAAATACTTAAGAGCTCTTCTAGAAGTCGGGGTGAACATAGACCTTTTCCCCAGGCCAGGATAAATAGAGCGCATTTTCACATGAATTTCATTATTGAGGGGAAATGTCTCGAAACTAACACTTTTACCTTCTCCAAAATATATGCTACCCAAAACACAGAAACCCACAGAGCTCGAAACTCCCGGTCTACCTAAAAACGCTTCGTGTCCTTGAGGTACAAATTGTTCAATTGGTTGAGGACGAAATAGAAGAAGCTTTCGCTTAACGGGCTTCCGTGTCTAGTAGCAGTAGATCATCAATACCTCCAGGCAAGAACCTAGGTATATGAACGATAATAAAGGAAAAATAGAATTCAGTAAATCAAAATAATATGGTATCCTTAGTCCTTAAGAATTAGTCAAGTTTTCTCCTAAAGGACTCCTGGGAGGTCGCTTGAACTAGCTCAGTTGGCAGCCAATTCCAGCATTTGACAACTTTTACGGAGTAGAAGTTGTGTCTGCAGTCTGTTTTGCTATGCAGGGTCTCCAATTTCTGGGTGTTATATCTTAGGTTAGTGTTGTGGTTAAGCTTAAGAAGATGTTTACGGAGATGACCAGAAGTATAAAGGATACTGTAAGTCATAAGAAGGTCACCTCTAAGATGCCTGTACTCTAACGAGTAAAGGTTAAGTGATTGGAAGCGCTCTTCATGAGGTTTGAATTTGAGTCCCCGAACTGATTTCGTGGCTCGACGTTGGATATGTTCCAGAGTGTCCTAATCCTTTTGGAGGGAGGGAGGAAATGCTATATTTCCGTACTCTTAATGGGAATAAATAAAACTGTTGAAAATTAAGTGGAAGGTTCTATCGTCAAAATGGCTAAAAACCCGCTTCAATGTTACCAGTGCAAGGTTTGCTTGAGAGGCGTTTTTGTCACAGTTAGCGTACTAATTCAGGGCGTAGGGTACCAACACTCCTAAATCTTTTTCGATTTGGGAAACTTCTAGAGGGGAGTTACCTAAGTTGTAACTATAGTCTGCAACATTTCGCAGATGGTTCACATCATTTACATCGCTCAGGCTTTGCTACCATTAGTCTGTTTCGCGTTGATCTGTTAATCAGGAACTGAAACCGAATTCATATACCTTAGTTTTGCCGATGATTTGTTTCCTTTCATTGTGCGTTTGCTTTTTCTTGTAAACATGCCTATATCTATGTGTTTGTTATCCACTACGCTATTGGGGGCCGCTTTGATAGTCTCATCCAAATCCAAATCTGGGCTGATGATAACGCTCGCTGCTTTCTCAAAAACTGAAACTTGCTAATGTGCTGCTGGCTGTTTATCAGAGGGGATCTTTCTGGTTGTTTTAGGTAGCTCAATCGCCCCAAGAATTAGCCGAAAATTCGTAGAGCAGCATACCTTGCACAGTCAACGTGATGGGGGTTGCAGCACCTTTTAGATGCAGCCGGTGCACATATTGTGACATCACTTGTCTCAGTTGTCACCTTGGATTCCATCATTGACCGGGAAAAAGCATGCAAGTCTACCACAACGATGCTTTTAATGACACCATCAAATTGGTTAGTGACTTCGCAGAGAGGACGACAAAAATTGATCTCTGGAATAAATGTCTTGAAAGGCTACTACAACTACTGTTTTTGGAGTCAGTTATCAGTCTGAAGGATTTACTACTTTATGAGTTCCATGCCTAGTGAGATTTATGAGTTTTCCGCGCATAACCTTTCAGTTTCATGAAAAATAACTACCTTTCAGCAATTTTCCATTTCTCCAATTGAAGCCCATTTTCGGAGCAGTTGCCAAGTTTCAGTGTTTAGAACGCTTATTTTTGCTATTCTTCAGTCTTAGTATAAGTTTAGTTGTGGTTTACGCTACTGATGTTGGCGGACATAAGTAGCATGTAAGACCAATCGAAAGTGGAAACCTTGACGGCAGAAAGTTTAGAAGATCAAATAAAGGAGAACAGAAACAGAAAGTGATTGTTATGGAAAGGAAGGAACAACAAAGTCTAAGACAATTAGTGAACATTTCGCAAATGAAGTATATGCTGTATAGGTCTCAGATTCCATAATTCGGTATGCAAACGCATCTGATTGTCCACACTTGTGTTCTCGTTCACTACACAATTATCAACGTAAAGATGTCACACATATTCAGGGTTTGATAACGCTTTTGTCAGTAATATCTTTTTAAGCGAGGATATCAAACGCAGTCAGACATAAGGTCAGAAACGAAAAAGTTGGAGGTTGTATTTGAGGGGTAGATGATATGTCAAGAAGTACGTGAGCCAAACTGACTGACTGTTATGACAGATGTATAAAATGGCATACCCAGTGGTGATCTGGTGTGGATGCGTGACCAGGCAACTGCAATTAAAGTGTATCCATATGTATTACTGGGATCAGCATATAACTCGAAGGCTTATGGAACTACTTACTATGGGGATTTATCAACCATTACAAACCAATTTCCCTGTTTTTCGTTGTAGATAAGGCCGTGGAAAGTGTTGTAATTTATTCGTCCCATGACTATCTGCTCAGTACTCGAGTCTTTCTGATCATGCAACATAAACCCTTTGACTGGTTGAAATAACTCGACTGTCTCACTGAAATATAGTCACCTGATTCAGATTGACCTCAAAGACTTTTTAAAGTCATTCGATACAATAGATCTTAGCATCCTTTCTGACTCACTGAATTTTGTTGTTGTCATTAGGGTTTAGAGGAAGTGTATCTCAGATTTTCAGTGTGGGATATTATAGAGAGTTAGAGTTTTCTCCATTCTGTACAAATGGTTTTCAGTGAAAAGTAGAGTACCACAAGTCTCAATACTCATATCATTCCTAATACTACTAATTAGCGACTCGCAAAATACTTGGGACTCCAAAATGCTGTTATACTCGGATGACCTGAAAACGTTGAGGGATAATATTTCAGCTCCCCAAAAAGTTTACACACTACAAGTGGATGGCGCACAAGAAACCTTCTCCCTCTCAATATTAATGAGTGAGTAATGCTAGTGATGTACAACTGCAATGCTCGATTTACCTCAAACTTTCCGGGATATTCTCGTATCCTAGTCCCCACTGCTGAGGCGGACATAGATATCGCTTTACATGATGCCTTAGATCCTTCTTATCGTTGGGACTTTATGGCCAATATAGCTTACTTACGCTTGGAGTTCTAGTCCTCTGTATTGAACAACCTCTTTTCAGTATCCATTGAGAACCTCATCTGGATAAGCTCCTGCATCGTCTTACAACCCTAAGCAGGATATTGCTTTATTGGACCCAAAAAAGTGCTCAAAAAGAACCTAAATCATAACCCACTGGCCTACATCATCTCATTTTGCAGTTTGTAGAATTCAGAAGGGTTAGATGAATATGATGTTGCTGGATCATATTTGCTTAGAATCAGCTTCAGGCAAACGGATCAACAATTATTCTAATTACAAATTACTTAAATGTAGACATTTATTTGGGACAGAGAACAGAAAATCCAGTGCGAAAAATCCGCAAGAACTTTTATATGATACTTTCAAGTTGTGAAATTCCATACGATTAACTATGGCGCGAGATTAGGTCTAGATCGGGATTAGTGCACTTATCCATGCTACTAGCAAAATATATCTGATTAAATATTATGTGCTTACCATGATATCACTTCTTAGTCTACAAAATCTTACATAGAAACAGAATCATTATTTACACTGGCTCGTCCTATAATGACAGTAATCCGGAAGATATTTGCGAACCTCTCCAGAACACGTTCAAGCTGAACATGAAATAATACATTTAACATAAAAAGTAATAGATTACACTCATCTGTCAATGTCCTGAGTGTGACGTTTGGGTCTTGGTCCAAACGAGTTAGAAGTCTGGTTCTAATTTCAGCATCTTGTGGTGACTGCAGAGCTTTGATGAATACAGGGCATTTAAGTTGATCTTCTGTCAACGAGCGTAACTTGAACCGTTCACATTCTCTGTTGACGACGTCTGCTAGAGCACCATATTCATCGGCTTCACGTTTCACCAAATTCAGACACTGATATCGAATACTAAACAATGAGGAAGATTCGCCGAATATCTCTGACACTTGCGTTACTGTCTCCTCGAAACTGAGCTCTCGAGGTAACTTTGGCAATATATGATCAGCATAACGTGCATGCTCATTGCTTCCCAACTTACGCATCAACAACCGAGTCTTCCATGCGTCATCTTGTTGACAGAATTCTATTCTAAATGTATCTTCCCAACGCTTGAACCACGCGAGAGATGGGATGCTGCTAGCAACTGCATCACAAGAAGTACTTGAAACAGCATGTGAACTGCAGTTTTGGATGCTAAACTGTTGCATCATAGTCTCCAATAACCGCATTTGTACATCAAGTTGTGCTTGCTGTTGTTGTAGTATTTGGCTGAGCTGGTCATCTGATGTAGGTATTTTGAATGAATTTTCCTTTTTCCTCGACGCCACTGTTATAATTGTGTTTTTGCTATATAAACGACCCAACTATTCCTATTGCTTAGTATTCTTATACGATGACACTCGACAAGACCCCAAAATCAGAACACGTTGAACAGGAATGAAATTGTATTCAAAATAATAATGATAAGTGAACAGCAATCACTGATTTGAATAACGTCATATATTTATAGTTTATACAAAAAGAAGCTCCTAGATTTTTCTCCAATAATATGCCCGGGCCGATCGGTTTAAAATTAGCCAATCAGCGCGCAGCAACACTATCATGCATGAAACATGCATACATGAAACATCCAATCTATGTCCCACTAACATAAACAAACCACTTATGTAGTGTCAAACCATATTGTCCTGACTGAGGGTTCTCACGTTCACCTTCACAACCTTAAATGTAAGTCTCGTCATTTATTGTATGTTCAGCTTCAAGGGTCACTCTATATCCAAATGAAAACTTAAAGAACATTAACTTCTGGTAACAGTTTAAGAAAAAATATTTTGCATAAATCTAAGTTTCCGTTACTTTTTCGAAATCAATAAATATTTATCCCACTGATCTCCAACCATTTTTTCCATTAGTTGAAACCTATTCTTCTGCTGCAATTTGTCGCACACTTTATTTAGTTGATAGTTTTGTTCTCTGAGCTGGGTGGTTTGATCGCGAAGCTTTCATCCTCCTTCTGGACGACATCATCAGCACGAACTTGTTTACTCCGTCATTCAAGACCAGTACTTTTCGATTTCAATGCTCAACGCGACATCCACTCAACCACTGAATTCAAACAGCCACTTGTTTGCGCAGCGGGCATGAACCACAATTTAGTTAATAGAATTTTGAATAAACCCGTTACTAGTATTTGACTGGATGTGACCAGTTTTCCTTCGCTATGTAGATAATGCTCAGGACTTTCGGCGCGAAACTTACTGGATTAGAACTTTAGGATGCACGTAAATTTAGCTGATAAGTCTTAAACGAGAGACGAAACACATTTCTTGGATCACACTTGTATCAACATTTCATAAATCCTATGTGACTGATGTTTCTTTTTCAAATTAATGCTGACACGACTTATTGATATGAGGTACGGACTACTAAATATGTGATTATCTTTCCCGTCATTGATTTCAACTTCAGACTCAGTGAGAGTGACTGTTTGTAACTGCCGCTTTTCAAGACAAAAGAGCTTTCTAGCAAAGAATAAACATTTCATCTTAAGTAGCACTGAATGATTGATCAGTGTTAGTCATTAAATCAATTTTTATCGGTTCTACTAGTTTAAGTAATAGTGCCATCATTTCCAGTGACACAAAAATCATGAGTCAATTGGAGCTAGACCACCATGGGAAACCTGGAAGTACGGCTTGACGACTGTTTCGTCCTATTATGGGACTCCTTGGCAGTGCGCATCCACGATCCCGCACTCGCGAGATTCGAACCCAGAACCTACCAGTTTTGCGCCGGAGCACATAACCAATAGACCACTGAGCCGGCCGTCATCCAACGGTGTTAATGTCTAACTTCAACCAATCCACGATTTTTAGCAACCGTTCACAAATTGTCTTCAGTGACTTGATATCTCTAAAACAGACTTGGCAGAACTCCACTGGTCACTGCTTTCTACTCGAACTCAAGGAAATACCTCTTGAAGTCAGTCACCAGTGAGCACATGATTATAGGTCAGAAGGGGTTTTGTAGAGAATTTAGTATTTTCATAGTTCAAATCATGAGACATTAACATCGTTGGATGACGGCCGGCTCAGTGGTTTATCGGTTAAGTGCTCCGGCGCGGCAGTGCCAGGTCCTAGGTTTGAATCTCGCTCGCGAGGCGGGATAGTGGATACGCACTGCTAAGGAGTCCCATAATAGGACGAAATGGCCGTCCAGTGCTTCCAGGTTATCCATGGTGATCTAGCTTCCATTGGTTCATGATTTCAACTATGAAAATACTAAATTCTCCACAAAACCCCTTCTGATCAACAAAAAAATCACCTATGTATATATATGTATGTGTTTGAATACATTTAGTAAGAAAAATTATTTAAGGATGAGATTATTCATCATTATTATTATTAGTAATAACATTGAAATAGAGAAAATAAAACAAATGAAAACTAAAAACAAACAAACAAACGAATGAACATTGAATAGAAAAAAAAGAAGAAAAAAGAGCAAACCATAACAACAACAACAACAATAACATAAAGAGAAAAAGAGAGAAGACCGATCTTTTTTTTCCGTAGATTCATATTTTATCTACTAATTATGAATCCTGTTATTGTTGTTATTATTGAATGCCTTCATTAATTGTTTTTTCTATTGCCCCCCCTCTTTACTTTTGTACTGGAAGTTATGTGTGTATAATGGAACAGTTTAAAGTGATGCAAAATTGATTATTTCTTTATTTATTGATCTAAAATATCTTTATGATGATTAGTGAATGGTGAATTGTGGTGTTGTTGTTGTTGTTGTAGCATAGCTTGATGTAATTCACTAGAATGATTATAATCATCATTATTATTCCTGGTAGCATTAGTAACCGACGAAGTATTACACTCATTATTCTTGTTATATACTCTTGTCGACCCATTGGATAATTCTATATTAAAAAAAAGAAACAAAATATAGTAAAACGGAAAGTGAAAATGAATTGTAGCGGGATGCATAATAATATAATATAATACATTGATTTATGAAATTGTTGAGTAGTAGGGCACAACAGTTCACCCGCGCTGACTTGAGTTCTTTATGAAGATTGTTCACAAAACTAGATAATATCTGAACAGAGTAAACACAAGTGTTGACCTATCCAATAGATTAGTTTTTATTAGATTTGTAAAATCATTTTGCGTAAAAGTTTGTTTGTACTTGAGTATATAAAGTCCCTCAAGTGCCCTGGTATAGCCGAGAGTGGGGAGAGTCCACTCTCCCTCTCGAAATCCTCTCACATCGTCACGCGTATATAGCCTCTGCCAGATAAGTCCTACTCAATGCCTTCTCCTGGCATTACTGTTATTTACGAAATTGAGAGGAAGAAAAGCGAATGTACGGCGCTTTCACCGGGTTAGTGGACACGGAAAAACCACCGAGGGGAGTTGGAAAACCCTGATTTCAAACCAATGGTGCACATGGAATGGCTACAGTATCCTGAAGGAACAAATGGCGTATGAATCAATCGTTGGTCACCAGCTACAATGGGATCGCATCTCCTCACGATGCTCCACTGCCTTGTGGATCAGATCTTTAGGTCAAAGGCTCCGGGTGTAGCCCACTTAGAAAACCACCTGCTGCAAGTTTGGGCACCTGGGTAGTATCACAGTCCTCATACAAATCAAATGAAATTTGGTGCTTCCTTGTTCCAATATTTATCTGTTTAAATAAATAAATAAAAAACGACAACAAGTAATACTACTGAAATGACAAAAAAATGCTTACTTGTTAAAGAATTTTTATATGCAAATGAAGTTAATGGATCACCGAATGATTGTCGCGGATTACAACTATTACTACTATTATTAGTAACTGTATTCATGGATGATAATGATAATAGTGAAGACGTAGATGGGATTTCTTCTGCTTCTAATAAATTAGTTGAATCTGTATCATGACGATGAAAATATTGATGTAGAACGTTTCCACTTCCTCCTTTGAATGTTGGAATTGAAATGGTCTTTTTTGGAATAATTATTGTATGATTATTCTTATTAGGATCTGATAAATGGTGAATATCGTTAACATTACTGTTATTACTACTATTATTATTCATTTGAGTAGTTTTAAATTGTTTATTAAATATTTTTGGTTGTATACAATTAATTTTGAATAGATTTGAATGAACAATTTGTTTATGCATAGATGAAGTCGTGGTAGACGTCGGTGGCCATAAATTAGTTCGACTATCATTATATGTTGATGAAACTGGATCGATATTATTCCAACCATCGATATTATTATTATTCACTAATCCAGTGAAAGGATTTCGTTTCCATGGTATAAACCAATCATGTAAACGATTTAAAGCATTACTCGCATTGACTTTAAAATGTCTATTATCAAAACGATAATTAGATGTGCTCATCATTCTATAATGATTTGATTTCATCCATAAAATAAGTAGTATGATTATACCGAATATAAGTAGAATAATGGAAATAATTGTTGCAGGTGAATTATGTGTAATTAACTGAATTGAAAGTAAAAATAAAACGAATCACAAAATAAAACAAATCATTATAGAATGTCAGTATTTATTTAAGCACATAGATATTGGTACAAAGGGGAACCAGATATATATGCACCACACAAATCTCATTTGATTTGTGTGAAGGCTGTGATACTGACCAGGTGCTTAAACCGAAGCAGATGGTTTTCTTAGGGAGCCATACCCGGAGCCTTTGATCTAAAGGTCTAATCCATAAGGCAGTGGAGCATCGTGATGAGATGCAGTCCCATCGTAGCTGGTGACCAACGATTGATTCATACGCCATTTGTTCCTTCAGGATACTGTAGCCATTCCATGTGCACCATTGGTTTGAAATCAGGGTTTTCCAACTCCCCTAGGTGGACTTTCCGTGTCCACTAACCCGGTGAAAGCTTTTCGTCCCCTCAATTTCGTAAACAACAGTAATGCCAGGAGGAGGCAGTGAGTAGGACTTTCCTGTCGGAGGCTATATACGCATGGCCATGTGAGAGGATTTCGAGAGAGAGTGAGAGAGAGAGGACTGCTCCCCACTCTCGGCTGTACCAGGGCATTTGGGGGCAATGTAAATATTAAAGTACAACGGATTATTTATAAAGTTTCTTTAAGACATTTTAGAAATATTTATGTATATATTCTGATAGTTAATATAGATAAACACAAGCTTCATGTACTTGTATTAGAGGTATAAAGTTAGTTTTTAAGAGTAAATACTACTGATATTGTGGTGTGGGTTACTGATATTCACATAAGTAGTACATGGTGATGGTTGGGCATTGAATGTATTTCAGTAGAAGATCGATAAGGAGAGAACGGGAATGAAACGCAATTGGTACGAAAATGCATGAACAATGATAATCAGAGACTATGGAATGATATTTGCAGAAGGAACGGTCAAGATTGAGACAATTGATTGATAGTTTGCAAATTAACCGTTCACTATATGGTTCTCATATTTTAATGAGATATTCTGTAGTGTTGATATAAAATACATTCAATTGTCCACACCCGTGTTTTTTTCACTACAATATTAGTCGGTTGAAAGTAGTCCACTGGAAACTTTGCCTGTCTTAGTTTTCGTCCTAGCTGCAAGTTATCTTGTTGGAACTGATGATCTCTGTCTAATTCAATCCTGTATCACAAAGCTTCACAATCTAAATCATTACTATTTGAACAGAGACTGACCTTCTGTAGAACTGAGATGTAACCACAATTGATTTGTCAGCGAGTGATGACCAATATCATACTTGTTTAATCCTTAGTGCTGATTAAATTCTATCATCCGTATTCCAATGTGGAAACTAGTCTAAGTGACTCGATGTTCCATCGATTAGCTTTGATGTTAAGTGGTTGAAGGTAATCGACAAAAAATCCTGCATAAGTTTACTGTTAGCTAAAACTTTTCAGAAATGTGTACCTACAATAATACTATGGTACTATAATAAATATAATATTACTTAATCAACACAAGCCATATCAATTTTACAAACGAATTAATGAAACTGACCGACTAAATACATATACATATATTAAAGTTTAAGGTGAATCTATATTGTAAGTACTCCAAAGAGAGAGAAGATGTAGCGAAGTTTTAAAGTATGGTGGTCTTTCAAAGTTCCCGAGCTACGTTTATGTTTCAACTCAGTAAACGTTTGATATAATGAGCATGAACCTAATTCATTCAAATGGAAAAGAAATGTTAAATTAATTTTTTCCAAGAGCCTATGCAAAGAGTTAAATATGCTGAATTTTATGATACTGTAAATGTGTGTTCATATAGTAAGTTATTGAATAATTGAGATTAAATACAATGCAGTTCAATATATGTAAATCTACCTGTAAATAAATAATCAGAAATGTGATTTAATAGTTGAATTCATGAGTCGATTGAAGCTAGAACACCATGGAAAACCTGGGAGCACTGGAAAACCGTTTCGCCCTATTGTGGGACTCCTAAGCAGTGAGCATCCATGATCCTACTCGTGAGACTCAAAACCAGGACCTATCAGTCTCGCGCGTGAACGCCTAACCTGTAGGTCACTGAGTTGACATCCAGTGGTGTTAATGTGTAACTTCAACCATTCCACGAGATGTAGTTTATTCATATATTATTTTTGAGATTATGTAAATCCTAACTCCGCCTGTAGCTCTTCTAGAGTTACTGCCGGTCCCAAGCCCGGGTAAAGGAGGAGGGTTGGGCATGGGGTTAGCGACCCCATCCCGTAGAAAAGCTAACTCGCTAAAAAAACGCTAACCAGAAAAAATAATTCAAACCATTTAAACTCTGCTCTGGGAGTTGAAGGAATAATGACGTCTCATGATGAAAGCCGAAATTCTTCGGAAGTCACGAGGCCGATGCACCTTCTAACAACCAGAGCAACACTCTTTATAGGTACATGGAACGTCCGGACAATGTGGGAGACAGGAAAGACCAGCCAAATAGCAATGGAAATGAGGAGATACAACTTGGCAGTACTCGGAATCAGCGAAACCCATTGGACACAAACTGGACATCAAAGGCTAGGTACAGGAGAGATGCTGCTGTACTCCGGTCACGAAGGGGAAAATGCGCCACACACTCAGGGAGTTGCTCTAATGCTGTCCAGAGAAGCACGAAATGCACTTGTGGGATGGGAATCTCATGGACCCAGGATAATCAAAGCATCATTCAGAACAAAGAAGTAAGGGATCACAATGAATGTTATCCAATGTTATGCACCCACCAATGATAGCAACGACGATGATAAAGATCAGTTCTATGAAAGGCTGCAATCAATTATAGCAAAGTGCTCACGAAAGGACCTCACCATCCTTATGGGTGATCTAAATGCTAAAGTTGGAGTGGACAACACAGGATATGAAGATGTAATTGGACGACATGGACTAGGAGAGAGAAATGAAAATGGGGAGAGACTTGCAAACCTATGTGCTTTCAACAAATTGGTTATAGGCGGCACAATATTCCCACACAAACGCATACACAAAGCTACATGGATCTCACCGGACCACACCACAGAGAACCAGATTGATCACATCTGTATCAACAAAAAATTCCGAAGATCAATGGAAGATGTAAGAACCCGGAGAGGAGCTGACATAGCTTCAGATCACCACTGGCTGGTTGTGGCCAAGATGAGACTGAAGCTTAAGAAAGACTGGACAACTGGACAAACAGCACTACAAAGGTTTAATACAGCCTTCCTTCGAGATGCTGACAAGCTCCAAGAATTCAAGATAACTCTCAACAATAGGTTCCAAGCTGTACAGGATCTACTGAAAGAACAAGAAACTACTTTGGAGGACAACTGGAAAGGGATAAAAGAAGCACTAACTTCAACGTGTCAGGAGGTTCTTGGTCCTAAGAAGCATCATCACAAGGAATGGATCTCTATGGGAACCCTGGACAAAATTCAAGAAAGGAAGAACAAGAAACTAGCAATTAACAACAGCCGAACACGAGCAGAGAAAGTCAAAGCACAAGCAGACTACGCAGAAGCAAACAAGCAAGTGAAGAAAAGCATTAAAGCCGACAAGCAGAAATACATGGGAGAACTAGCAACGGCGGCGGAAAAAGCTGCAAGAGAAGGGAATATGAAACAACTATATGATACAACGAAAAAATTGGCAGGGAGATATAGCAAACCAGAGAGACCAGTCAAGGACAAAGAAGGAAAGACAATCACTGAGATTCAAGAACAGAAGAAAAGATGGGCAGAATACTTCGAGGAACTGCTGAATAGACCAGCCCCATTGAATCCACCGAACATTGAAGCAGCCCACACTGACCTTCCAATAGATGTCACTCCACCAACGATCGAAGAAGTCAAGTTGGCCATCAGACAAATCAAAAGTGGGAAGGCGGCGGGACCTGACAATATACCAGCAGAAGCACTGAAGTCAGACATTGAAATAACTGCAAACATGCTTCACCTTCTATTCAAAAATATTTGGGAAGAGGAACAAGTGCCAACGGACTGGAAAGAAGGATATCTCATCAAGATACCAAAGAAAGGAGATCTGAGCAAATGCGAGAACTACAGAGGTATCAGTTTGTTATCAGTACCAGGAAAAGTTTTCAACAGAGTGCTGCTGAATCGGATGAAAGACGCAGTAGACGCCGAACTAAGGGATCATCAGGCTGGATTCCGTAAGGATCGGTCGTGCACAGACCAGATTGCGACACTACGGATCATCGTTGAACAATCAGTTGAGTGGAACTCATCACTATACGTCAACTTTATTGACTACGAGAAGGCGTTTGACAGCGTGGACAGGAGAACATTATGGAAACTTCTTCGACACTATGGAGTTCCTCAGAAGATCGTCAACATTATCCAAAACTCATACGATGGATTACAGTGCAAAGTGGTGCATGGAGGAAAGCTGACAGATGCATTTTCAGTAAGGACCGGAGTCAGACAAAGCAGTCTACTCTCCCCATTCCTCTTCCTTCTAGTGATTGACTGGATTATGAAGAATTCGACATCTGAAGGGAAATACGGAATACAATGGACAGCTCAGAATCAATTAGATGATTTGGACTTCGCAGATGACCTAGCCCTCCTCTCTCATACACACGACCAAATGCAGATGAAGACAGCAAATGTAGCAGCAGCCTCCGCATCGATAGGCCTCCACATTCACAAAGGAAAAAGCAAGATTCTCAAATGCAACACGGAGAACACCAACCCAATCACACTTGATGGCGAAACTCTAGAAGAGGTGGAAACATTCAAGTACCTGGGGAGCATCGTTGATAAACAAGGAGGATCGGATGCAGATGTAAAGGCGAGGATTGGCAAAGCAAGGGCAGCATTTCTACAATTGAAGAACATATGGAACTCAAAACAACTGTCAACCAATTTCAAGGTCAGAATCTTCAATACGAACATCAAGACAGTCCACTGTATGGAGCTGAAACGTGGAGAACTACTACGGCCATCATCAGGAAGGTACAAGTATTTATAAACAGTTGTCTACGCAAAATACTCAACATCCACTGGCCGGATACTATCAGCAACAGCGTTTTATGGGAGAGGACAAACCAGCAGGTTCCAGCTGAAGAGGAACTTAGGAAAAGACGTTGAAAGTGGATCGGACATACATTAAGGAAATCACCAATGTGCATCACGACTCAATCCCTAACTTGGAATCCGGAAGGGAAGCGGAAAAGAGGAAGGCCAAAGAACACACTTCGCCGAGAAATAGAAGCCGATATGAAAAGGCTGAATAGTAACTGGAAAGAACTGGAAAGGAAGGCTCAGGACAGAGTTGGATGGAGAATGCTGTTGAGCGGCCTATGCTCCTCGACGAGGGGTAACAGGCGTAAGTAAGTAAGTAAGTATGTAAATCCTCATCTATCGTCTTCATGTTTTTTACTTGCGTCATCCAATTCACGGTTCTTACTACCGAGAACCAGTCAACTGAGCGTCCGGTAGACTTAGTAACATTTTAACAAATTATCCTGTTTTAGAAAACTAATTACATGTATTGTAGTGTGTTATTTATACGGACAGAAATAAATAGTATGTATCAAAAGTTAAAAGTAGGAATCCCAGTGACAGAAGAAGAATATAAGAAGAAAAAAGACAAAAGCAGTGCAAGTAGCAACAGGAATAGGATTTGTTTTGATATGTTACGTGGTAATTTTAAATTATGGACGGGGAGATGTTTCATGATTAGAGTGGGATCCATGCAAGATAAAAAAAACCGGACGATTAACACAGGATAATAATAGCAATAATACAATCTCCACAAATTTCTATACCAATAATAATCATGTGCTTACTAATGACCAATTTTAAGATGGATTTCCTAAGGTTCCAATGACAAGCCATGACCGTTGGAGTCCGATTCGTGTCGGGCATGAGACATTTATCCACCTCAGACGATAAATGAAGGGTTGTGCAAGATCACAGATCGATCGGAGTTAGAGATTCACACCGCTGGGTGCACGCTCAGTGGTTAAACGTTCGCGCGCCAAACCGAAGGTCCTGGGTTCAAGTCCCGCGTGCGGAAGTGTGGATGCGCACTGCTCAAAAGTCTCATATTAGGGCAAAGCGAACATTCAGTGCTTTCAGGTCTTCAATGACGGTCTAGGTTAGATTAACTCATGAATTCAACTTTGAAAATATTACAATCTCCACAAATCCCCGAAACCGACAATAATAATAATATTAATAAACTCTCATAGAATTGTTAAGAGAAGACAGAAATGAGACAAAAGAAAAAACCTTGTATTCCAAGAAGCCCGAATTTCAATAGAACAAATTTGCTTACGTAGAAACAGCTATAATCTTAAGATGCTTAAAAAGAAGCAGCAACCTAAAGGAGAAAGCAACCGATTAGATAATAGAAAAGTTGACTGAAACATTGTTTATTCGTCAGAAGAAACTGGAAAATAAAACTTACAGAATTATCATCATCAGCATTATCATATGGACATGATTTGATCAAATCTAAAATAGTTTGATTCCATATTGGAGGCTGCCAACCGCCAACACAACGATCACCTGGTATTAAACGATAACCTAGTTGATGAATAGTTTGACGCTGTTTTCTTGGTAATGTACAAGGATCTAACGGTGGAATATAGGGGTTTCGAATACAATTTAATGATCCCGGTTGACGATAAAATCCGTATTCACTAGGCAAAACAAAAGTTATGCATATATGTATTTCAAGAAACATAATGTCGGAAAAATAAAACAGACCAAATTTCCAAAGTTTCTATTCACGCTAAAGGTCGTAGCTCAGATAATATTTAAAAACAAGGGAACGCTGAATAGTTTCGTCCTAATTTAAAAAGATTCACCTGACAACAGTGATCCCTATTGTGATAAGAACAAAAACTTTAGACTGAACGGTATCCATATCGCAGTAGCAATTAAGTCTTTAATATATTTGCACTGTAGCTAGCGCTGAAATCCAGAATTTGTATTTTGTCCTAATTAAAACTAGTCAACGATTGATGTGATATGATGTGGTCTGATTTGTTTGTACATAAATCACGTATGTCTGAAATGTACAATTCACACAGAGAAGGCTGATATTTATGCTCTAGACTGAACGGACTAGGCTTGGCAAGAAATTGCCAATGAGGAGTCAGAGGTGACCCAGGAGTGCTAGTGCTGGTTGACGTGGAAATGGTTTAGCATGAGAAAAAGGTCACAGAAGTCGGTGTTCTGGTTGGCGATTTTGTCAAGCTGTAACAGATCTGACTCTAGTTTGAATGAACGTTTAAACGAAGGGAATAGGACATGAACATAAATCTTCTATTTTAACTCTATATTACACCTAAGCTAATCCCGTTTGTGCAACGGTGGTAACAAGAAACCAAACACGAATTGTGTTAGATGAATTTATTTTAGGCATTCGCTTATCCAAACAGACATTAAAAATGAGAAGCAGGAAATCGAAACATTACAGAACGGAGACGGCAAGCGAGCTAACTCTATCTGATAGAAAGCGACTCACCATTTATAGCCAGACAAAAACAAAATGAAGATAGGTGATGAATGGGGAAAGCAATAGATACAAATACGCTAAAATAAAATAGTCAAGGTTATAAGTTAATAAATGACAAGGTCAAAATGTGACTCATGACGAACAAATAAATTGACCTATCCGAATGCTAGAATAACCTATGTGGGCTTGACATAACGCTAGACACTACAAACCATGCTGAATAAATGAAGGGAATGCGATAGAATGCAACATTTTAAGTAAACTACACTATCAATCCATACATAAGAAGTGAATCAGCCAAAAGGTGAGGAGGCTAACCTACAAAAATGACTGTCAGCGCGAATGCAAAAAGAAGTAAAGTCAACAACGCCTGTGAAGACAATAAATTACGAACATGACCATCAGAATGAATTGACATACGACTTAAAGAATTAAGTTCCCTTCTGGATGAATTAGGCGTTGAAAATGTTGTTAATAGTAAGATTGAAAAATCCGTAATTAAATAGTCTAACTCAGAGAACACATCATCGCCACAATAAATAGAAAGATCTTCTAAAATATTGAGGAACATTCATAGCTCAGGTGAATACATTTTTTGTGGTTTCATATTCTATAAGTTGAGTCGTTCAATTGTGAAGCTTTCATTTACTACTCTGGACGACATCTATCAGAATCTTTTATTTCACAAGTGCTGAATTAATTCATAAAAACATTTAGCACAATATCATTGAGTTAGTAGTTACCAGGGAACAAGATTGGTCACTATGTAATACTGACGAATATCAGCCTTATAAGAAACAATTCGATAAATGATGGCAGCTGGGGCAATCACTATGGTATTGTCATTTAAAGCTAGTTAAAAGAATACTTTTTCACGCCAAAACACCTTAAAGGAAAAGAATTGCAGTTTTTTCAACGTTCAAAGATGCTGTGTTCTTCGAGTTCGTGGCTCATTTTATATGGTAAATATATATGTCTTATTGCTGAGATCACTAAAAAAGCACTTTTATATGTGTGTTATTTGCGTAGATCGATCAACATTGATCTTTACGACATAATTCTATTTTAAAATGGCCAGGGTATAAAAAAGAAAGAAGTTATGATATTTGGATATGGAAACAAAGTTAGTAGTTATTAGTATCAATTTCAACTACATCCGTTAACAGATACACATTACAGGATCCACAAATACCAACATGTTTCAACTACACCACAGTGAGATATAATGTACTGAGGGGGGGGGCGTAGGGACGGAGCGGATACAACTGTTGTCGATTCGTGTATTGATGAACCAAACATGTTCATATTATTATCACACTAGACAGACTACTAACATATACATATATTAGCAAGAATAACCGTAATATATTCGATAATCATGACGAGGATAGCAATAACATTAGTATATACATATACGTAAAGTATACTATACATAAATACATAATGTAGTTAGTTTTTAGAAGCTTTTAAAATTGATATGTCACTCATTTGGTCAAATACTTTTTTCCACAGTATTAATTATATTAGTTTATTATTATTGAAACTGAGTGACATATTATTAGTCACATGTTTCCATTAACATATACACTAAATGGATTTCATTAACTGTTTTAAGGAGACATCCATATATATATATATATATATATATATATATCACAATAAAGGGAATGTTCTATACATATTTCATCGGAGTCTGGTACTTTTCAATCGGTTGCACTTGAAACTATACACAATGTCAGAATTGAATCCATATGCTCATTAGTGACTTCGAGAGGTAAATCCTGGAGTTCTAGTGAGAAGCAGTGACCAGTGGAGTTCAAACCACGTCTGTTGTGAGATAGAAATTCACTGAAGACAATTGGTGAACGGTTGCTCAACTTCGTGGATTGGTTGAAGTTAGACATAAACACCATCGGATGCCGGCTAAGTGGTCTATCGGTTAAGTGCTCTGGCGCGAGACTGGTAGGTCCTGAGTTCGGATCTCGCGAGGCGAGGTCGTGGATGCGCATTGCTGAGGAGTCCCACAATAGGACGAAACGGCCATCCAGTGCTTCCAGGTTTTCCCTGGTAGTCTAGCTTCAATTGAATCACGCTTTCAACTATAGAAATACTAAATTTCCACAAAAAGCCCTTCTGATATTGTATGATTGTCAGACTTTAGTGAGATAGTCTGTAAATTTGTGCTCAAGTATATTCAATTGTTTCCACTTGTGTTTTTGTTCACTACGTACTTACTCTATATCATATAATCATCAACTTAAGCAACTATTCTACAGAATGATGTATGAGTTTTTTTTTCTTTATTAAAGAAATCAGTTATTTAACTCATCTATTTAAGTCTTATTATCAAGATGATAGAAATGAGTTAAGTAGTAGTTAGCTTTTAACATTAAATAACCATTCCTATTCATAATTGAATGAGATTGCGGCGAGACTATAATTTAAGAACGAACCAATCAGAAGCGTTTGAGGGACTTCAAGGTCACGGTGCCAATTTCAATACCTGATGCTCATGTACGATCGGTTCACAGAGAATTTTAGAGAAGACTTGACAATTAAGCGGCTACAACAAATGAAACAACTAAGAAGTTCCTGTAATTGTAATTACGAGTATTGAATGACTTGTAGACCTTGTGCAGACTACCATGATGTTGTCCTTCGATGTAATATATTTTGAAGACTTTTGTAGAATAGGAACCTTTTTCGCTCGATCCAGATTGATACTAAGGCATATTATAATAATTGCCGCCAACTGTATAATAAAATCACCAGTAAAATTGGCTGCAATAATCTGAAGCTTCGGCTGTTCAGTGGTATGAGTATTGTAGGGACATATCCATAATAAAGATGATAAACTTACACAACCGGACTACACACAAACAATAATGAAGCTATATGGTCGATGCTGAGAGGGTTTTTATGACCTTATCATGGCTGCAGAGACCAACTATTATTCAGCCATATGGATGAGTTCCTCTACCTTATGCATTACGATTTTGGGACTTTTGAACCTTTTTTCAACCTTGACAAGTTTTTGGACCATATAAAAGAAGTGTATCCACTTTTATTATTTGGTTTTGTATGATAAATGTTTACTCTATGCTGACCGTTCACTGGTTGGCTAACATTTCTCAAGGTCACTTGAGATTGGTTCAAAGGTCGTCCATAAATTATAGTCTCGCCGAGATTGCCTAGTTTACTCAGTAATTAACTGGTTAATAACAATAATAACGATATGTAGACAACTCAAAGTGTTATAAGAGCTATTCATAGGGAAAGATTAGATTAGATCATTTAAGTTTTATCATGAAAACAAACAAGCGAATGTTTCAATTACGTAGATATCTTTTTACATTGAGACTACCAATGGTGATGTGTAGTAGTGAGAGTAAAAATATGATTGGACACTGTAGGTGGAAAAAACAGTCATACCTTACGGACTATTAACTATAGGATTCCTTTTCTTATTATTGATTTCTAATCCAGACACACTAAGTGTGACTACTTGTAACTGTGTTGAGTAAAGTACTATCTGGTCAATATTCTGGGTCATGAATCCTGGATCTGGTATAACGTGATTAGTTTTATTATTCTATTAACGTATTATCGTCACATACGTGAGAGAGTGAGATAAAATATTATAAACATCCATTATATCAAATAGGTCACTTCATAGCACAAGCAAGTGGCTATCAGGACTCAGTGGCCGAGTGGATAACGCAATGGCGTTTGAAGCGAAAGGTACTGGGTTCTAGTCCCAGAATGAACACCAACTCTGAGATGCAGGTACATCCACCTGACGAGTCCCAAATAGGATGAAACGCGCGTCCTGGATTCCACTGCTAGCCACTATCCATCTCTGCCCACCACGCTTGTGAATTAAGGCTATATCGAGGAAATACGCACAGTATGCACATATGCCTATTAGAGACTGACCAGTTGCAGTCTTAACACACAGATGGGAAGATTTAAACAAACAATACCAAATGAATTTAAGTATCATCTATAGTTTGTTACCGATTCATTAGTATTTAACATCATGACGACTTAGTTTTAGATTAAGTTCTGTAAAGTTTTCCTCAGTTGGAAATGTACTAAATATAAATAATGAATAAAAGCAAATTCATTATGAGAATTCATCGAAATTGTGAATTCTTGGATGGCTAGTACTGCTGTTGTGGAAAGATCGGATGACGATGTTACAGAGACCAATCGTGTATGCGAACTGTAAGTGAACATCGTTGAAAAGTTTCATGATAGGAATCTCCTTCAAATAATTCATTAAATTCCTTGAATAAAGGTAAATGTCTTGTGAGCTCATTTGAAATAAACTATTAGTATTAAGTTATTGAATGAATCATAATAAAGTGATAACACTACAAGCTACTAACTGTGAGTTAGTCAGTCAGTCAGCTACAACGTAAGACCAGGGACAGAGATAGATCGATGCAAGTTGCCATACCTCGTTAGCACAACAAGATGAACACCGGATTCATAGAAGTAGTTAATTTAGTGGTGGTAAGATCTAAAAAAAGATTGTATATAGGGATATAGTATAGGAAGAAAGACAGATATGACTTTATAAAAGATTTGGATCAGTTTTGTTTTCTTAAAAGAAAGGTAATATTAACAGTGAATAAGCATTGAATTAATTACCATTCATAATCACTTTGAGTACATGGACAAAATTCCACTTGTACACGCGTTTCCATTTCATATTCATTTGCACAACTAAAATGAAATAATGAAAAAGTTGGTGATGAAAAAAAACAACCGTACATATAGAGAATAATCAGTATATGGTCGTGGAGATTGTTGAGTTTAGATTGATATCAATGTTAGACCACCCTTGAAAATTTGTAAGCACTAGAAAGCCATTTTGTCTTGGTACGGTACTCCTCAGCAGTGCTCATCCACGATCCCACATGTGAGACTAAAACACAGGGCTTTCGGTCTCGCGCGCGAATGCTTAACCTCGAGCATCCAATGGTGTTAATGTCTGACTAACCAATCGACGATATTGAGCGACTGTCCATACATTTCCGCTTAAAGTTCGTCAACGGATCATTTCGTATAGGAAATTGTTATTTAGGTATAACATTAATTCATTATAACACAATCAAATAGTAGTGAGAATTTGATATTATGTGCATCCAGGTAATCGACAAGATCAACTACACTGAAGTTATCTAATTGGCATGAAGCATTTCAAAGCAATGAGGCTACTTTATTGTTTATAAGTTGGATATGATTGAGAATAGTGTTTTGAATAACTCATAAATCATAAAAGAATTACTTGAATGAGGCAGAATAATCTAAGTTTATAGAAGAATATATGTTATGACAATGCTATCGAAGGTATAAACAGATCATAATTTACAAATCATAACTGACACTACTTACGAGTAACATATAAAGTGTGGCAATTAAAACAGGCAATCTAATGAAGCTATATCGTTTATTAACAGATAAATTAAGTAGATTACAGGAATTTATTTGAACTTGAGAGGAAAATGAAAGCTACAGGGAGATTTGAGTTATAGGGTACTAAAATGGCATTTTAAATACAGACTTTGGCCATATTCAATTGATGATTTGAAGCTAGGTCAGTTGCTCTCTTTGTTCTCATGTCTTCCTTTAACCATGCGATTATTTTATTGCTGCAAATATAATCGATCTGGTTTTGTGCAATGCAGTCCGGTGAGACCTATGTAGCCTTGTCTATGCATTTGTGGGTGAATATGTTGTCACCAATAACTGTTTCCCTGAAGGAACATAAATATGCAAATCTCTCTTTATTTTCATTTCTATTTCCCAGTTTATGTCGCCCCATGATATTTTCGTACCCAGTGTTATCGATTAGAATAGTCAGGTCCCTTCCCGGGCACTTCCCTTTGATCGAGTGCAGCCTCTCATAAAATTGATGTTCACTGTCTCTCTTATTATCATTGGTTGGTTTATAATATTGGATAACATTCATTGTGATATCCTCCTTCATTGTTTTGATGGTTCTAAATTCATGAGATTTTCATTCTATTAGTGCTTTTTGTGCTTCTTTCTATAGCATCAGTGCAACTACTTGTATATGAGAAGCAGCTTCTTTTACATGATCAGATTTCAAGAGTATCTTTCCAAAATCTAACCTTGTCTGTCCATCTAGGGTTCTGTTATATCCCCTGGTGAATCATGAATGGTAAATCTGAGGTCTATTATGGACAAAGGTAATATGCCTAATTCCTATTGTTTAGTTGTTAAATAACTGACCTAATTGTATTCGTGTTCCTCTTACCGTAACCTTATTTTGACCTTTGAACTATTATTATTGATTACTTTCCCCCTATCCATAGCCACATTGGCCAATTACTGTACAAATGTTATTTTTCTATTTTTTGGTATAATTGGGTCTGTTTGGTTAGTATATAAACCCAGTATGCTTGTGAATAATGATTCATATTTCCGAGGCTGTTATTTGTGTTCTGGACTCAACTGGCTGGGCTAGGCAGTTAGGAAGGACCGAATAGCAATCAAGACTGCTCGTACGTATTTTCCGTATCATTGCACGTTTCATATACAATAACGATTGTTATACGTTTATAACAATTGGCGACGGGGACAAAAGTGAAAAATGACGCTCCCTTCTGACCGCTTACAGTTGCTCTTTGACCGACATTTGGAGTTCATGGTCAAACTACGTACACAGTTTCTGGATCATCAATGCTTCACATATGCGTCAGAAGTGGATGTATTAATCTCTGAATTGCACACAGAGCTAGCAAATGATCGCAGCCCCCATGATTCCTCGACCAGCCGCAACTCAAACGAAACAGCAGTCTCTCAAGAGACGCCCGGTTGTCCAGCACTCTCCATTTCAGAAACGTGCCCGGTAGTGGATTCAAACACCACTATCCCTGAATTAGCAGGTCCTAACAATGACGCTTTCAGCTCTCATCAATACGATGCTATGTTAAAAGCCCATAAAATGGTCGCACCAATCGCCCACAGAGTACCAGAGATCATATCAAGCGGTTCAACGAGCGAATCTCATTCTGCAATAGAAATGTCTACCGAATCTAGTGATAAAGATTCCCAAGCTTGTCCAGAAATTTTGTTACATGCATCAAATCTGGAACCTAGCGCAGTTTTGGTGGACGCTGTTTATCATACTGATCCACAACCTGCCATTGATGTTTGCAATAAGTCTGATGACTACATTTCTGCAGAATCAAATTCTGACCTCACATCAAATGTCGATCCTCACCATCCAGTCAATCTTAACGGGTTCCCTATGGAATACCAGAAACATGTTATAACTAGAATCGCATTAATAGAAACTTGGGTATATGAGGATCCAACACTATTTCGTGGGGGAGGAGGAGCTCGAAAAAAAAAATTAAAATCCGGATATCAACTCCGGATTTCTCAAAAAGGGGAGGTGTTATATCCCCTGGTGAATCATGAATGGTAAATCTGAGGTCTATTATGGACAAAGGTAATATGCCTAATTCCTATTGTTTAGTTGTTAAATAACTGACCTAATTGTATTCGTGTTCCTCTTACCGTAACCTTATTTTGACCTTTGAACTATTATTATTGATTACTTTCCCCCTATCCATAGCCACATTGGCCAATTACTGTACAAATGTTATTTTTCTATTTTTTGGTATAATTGGGTCTGTTTGGTTAGTATATAAACCCAGTATGCTTGTGAATAATGATTCATATTTCCGAGGCTGTTATTTGTGTTCTGGACTCAACTGGCTGGGCTAGGCAGTTAGGAAGGACCGAATAGCAATCAAGACTGCTCGTACGTATTTTCCGTATCATTGCACGTTTCATATACAATAACGATTGTTATACGTTTATAACAGGTTCCATGGGTTTTACTTATTCCGAGCACCACCAAGTTGTATTTCCTTATTTCTGTTGCTATTTGAATGGTCCTCCCGGTTTCCTACGTTGTCCAGACATTTCACGTGCCTGTTATACTTGTTGATCTGGTTGTTAGAAGGTGAATCGGGCTCGTGACTTCCAAAGAATATCGACTTTTACCATGAGACATAGTAATTCTTCTAAATGAAGGTATTCGACTCTCAAAGCAGATTCTTAAGTGGTTTAAATTGTTTTTTCTGGTTAGCCTTTTTAAGCAAGGTTGTTTTCTACGGGATAGTGTTGCTGACTCTATACCCAACTCTACCGTTCTATCCTGTCCTGTGACCGGCAGCAACCCCAGAAGGACTCACCTACCTACTGAAATTGCAAACCGTCATTTATACATAAAAACTTAACCAAAATTACTTAAACATTAGATATGTGAATGATAGAAATTTGAGAGAAACAAAAAGTTGTGATTCATTTTTGGTATGATTAACGCCATCATCACTAATATTTTCATTAATAAGGCATGATACTCAATAATACATGAAGAGACAAAAGGAAGAGTAGAAAATCATTCCCCCTAGTAAATGAGTATATATATATAGGGATGTATTGGTGTATAACAAAGAGTGAGAGAGAAAGAGGGATGAAACGAAACAAACAAAGTAAATAATGAACCTATAATCGATGAACTAAGAGTTTATTGTTTTCTTCCAACTTTTTTTGAAATTTGCTTAAGTGAATAGAAATAAAAAGATACCAAGATTCACTTCTGATTTGAGAATGTGTATCATTGAATACTAATCCGATGGTTCGTCACTAGACTTAAACGCTCTGGATATTATCATTTGAGGAGTCAAGTAGTTCGCACAGACGAAGAGTTCCATAATAGGACAAAACGGTTGTGCGGTGCTGCTTGATTTTTAGTGGTACCTCAATCAATAAATCAATCAATTAAGGTTTGGATGTTGTTTTCGAAGACAACATCTCCATCCAGCTTCTTAATCCCATGAAAATCTTTAGTAGTAAAAAATTGTCAGCCAATGCGTTTATTTGACTCATCTTCATTGAAATACTGCAGCAAACTATTTTCAGCTTATCAATTTTGAGTATTCTCTCTGAATATTAACAGTTTTGGTATCGTCGAAAACAGACAATTTCTTACAATGAAACACCATGAGTCCTCAATAAGGCGACATTTTTCTGAATAACTAAATAAGTTTTAATTTGTTAAAATCATAAATTGATCAATGTTAGACAACTATTAAAAATCTATAAGCAATGGATAGTTATTTCATTCTAGCATGGAATTCATCACCACTGTTTATTGTAGAACTTTTTACACTAAACATATACTCTTAAAATAACAACGTAGAACTTAGTACGTACGTACATTAGTTCGAGTTGCCATACCACATTAGCACAGAGATACAGTTGTCGATTCAAATCTCATAGTGATAGATGTAGTAAGAGTATAAACAGTAAGATGATATACAAGTATAATCCAGTGAAATAAATTTGAAAAAAGAAAGGAATATGAACAATTCAGAAGATTAGAATTTGGTAGAACACAAAGAGTCGATGCACCTTCGCCATTGCAAACGATTTTGAGCCATGTCATTCAAGGTCTCTAATCATCGGTTGTTATCATCTCACCAGGTAGTCTACACCTACCAATATGACTCAGTCCACTTGTCAGTAACTTCATAGATTTGTGCCACGTTTTGATCTGGCCACCCCTAGCTTTCTTCCAACCTACTTCTACACCATAAAACTTTGCCCGTCGGGGCAGTCGGTATTTAGGCATACGTAACACGTGTCCCAGCCATCTCAACTGATGAAGTTTCACTACTTCATCAATCGATTTGCCATCCTTAACTAGTACCCGTTTCCTAACAACTGCATTACTTACACGGTGGTCTCAGGATATACGAGAAATGGTTCGAAGACACCTATGATCGAATTCTAGCAGCATACGAATATCCTCTACTCTTACCGGCCATGTTTCACTGCCATACGGACCGAACTGCTGCACAGTAAACCCGTCCTTTGGTTGCTAGACGGACATCTCACCTACGCCATAGATGACGCAAGTTGGCGAAAGCTAGACGAGCCTTCTGTATCCGTGCTGAGATTTCGTCACACACCAGACCACAAGGGCTGATGAGACTCCCAAGTTAAGTGAAGCTGTCAACATGCTCAACTATTTCACTTCCTATCATTAGTTCAGGTGCCGATGCAATCCAATCAATCCTAAAGTAACATTTTGCACTTCGAGGGGGAGAATCGCATCCCGAACATGCTTGCATTATTGCTTATAGTGGTCAGAAGACTCTGCATTTTGTCAGCGTCTTCACCAAATAAAACTATCATATAGTAGGATGGAACAAATTGTTGCGCAGTAAACCCACCCTTTGGTTACTAGACAGATATATCACCTACGCCATAAATGACGCAAGTTGGCGAAAGCTAGACTTTACACAACATGTAACAATGAATTCATTTTCTAACTATTATAACATATAAATAAAAATAAACATTATACATTATGTTATAAAGTGAATAACTACAACTTATAACTTTCAACTATATATATATATATATATATATATATAGGTTCTCATGATGTGCCTGGTCCTACGTTGTAGCTGGCTGGCTGGTTCTCATGAAATGTTAAGAATAGTTCACATATCCATTTTTAATGATGGTTACATTTAATTACTAGTGAATGATATGACTGATGTATATACAAATACAAATACAATTATGAATATACAGTCAAATGTTAAGAATTATGGCCAATTAAATTTTCAAAAAATACCCTAAAATTGTTTAATATTATACATAGTAATATATTGAATATAATTTAAATAATAATAATAATAATAATAATAATAATAATAATAATAATAAAAGTAGTTTAATAGACAGATGAAATTCATTCTAATAATTATTTGTATATAGGTGAAGATGTTTTATAAAGACTAATTTAATTTGTAAGTTATATTTATTAGAAGGGGTTTTGTGGAGATTTCAGTATTTTTCATAATTGAAATCATGAGTCAATCGAAGGTAGATCATCAATGGAAAACCTGGGAAGCACTGCTTGACGGCCGTTTTGTCCTATTTTGTGACTCCTCAGCAGTGCGTTTCCACGATCCCGCTCCGCAAGAGAGATTCGAACCCAGGACTTACTAGTCTCGGTTAAGTGCTTCTGGGTTCGAATCTCTCTCGCGAAGCGGGATCGTGGAAGCGCACTGCTGAGGAGTCCCATAATAGGATGAAAAGGCCGTCTAGTGCTTCCAGGTTTTCCATGGTGGTCTAGCTTCAATTGACTCATGATTTTAATTACATTTATTAGAGATTGTATTATTGTTGGATCATTATTGAAAATTAGGAGTAAAGTAAAGTGCTTGTTGATATATTTTGCGCCTTTTCTCTCGTGTTCAAGTCTCTGTGTAGTTATAGCTTGGGGGTTGCGACACTAGTTTAAGATCCGAGTATTACGTTCAATCAACAAGACTTATTAGTGGCGACGGCAAAGACTACAATGAATATCTCTTTGGAGCAACTAGAAACTTATATGGAGCGTCAAGAAAAACGGTTTGAACAGTCTCAAATTAGAATCATGGAAGCTTTTGTGCAGAAATTATGCATGTCCAAACGAAACTCTGCTTCTGGTGAATGACAAGTATCTCATGCCCATCGCCAATTGTTATATTTGATTACTTGCCTATTAAAGAACAGTGAATTTATTGATCGCCCAATGATACCCGAAAGCCGTATGAGCAGTCTTGAGTACTTATCAGTCCTGCTTTCTACCTAACCCAGCCAGTTAAGTCCAGAACACCAATAACAGCCTCTACAATGTGAATCATTATTCTCAAACATATTGAGTTTATATACCAAACAAACTGACCACATCATACCATAAAATAAAAAATAATATTTGTACAAGACTTAGCCAAATGTGGCTGTGAATAGGGGGAAAAGTAATCAATAGACCGGGGATAACTCAAGAATGGTAAATCACATAATAATAGTTTATAGATCAAAGTAAAGCTTATAATAAGAGGGACATGAATATGAATAGTTTAGTTCCTTAACAATTATACAATAGGAAATATACATATTATGTTGGTACATAAACAGTCCTCGAAAGTTACCGTTCATAAATCCCCATGGGATATAAAAAATGTTATATTAATAATAAAATTACTTACAGGGAATCTTTTTTTAATCGTTTGAATTGTTCACGAACACCAAGTAGACAACCATCTTTACCACCTTCATTAGATGAATGCGGTATCCAAGTTTCATAATCATCAGGTGTGCCTACAGAAATAGAGATTTTAATAAGTAAATGTATAAAAATAGAGATTAGTACAATTTTTTTGTGTACTCAAAATGCATTAAAATTATTTTTTGATGGTTTAATATTAATTCAGGATAGGAGTTGCTTTTTTCAAATCTGGTTATGTTAAAGTTCATTGATATATTGTCAAATGTCACTAAGTCCTACTGACTTCCTGTAATCACCTATCATAAAAAAGAATAGTATACACACTGGTAAGACAATTAAAAAAAGATCAGAGGGGGTTTTGTGGAGAATTTAGTATTTTCACAGTTGAAATCATGAGTCAATTGAAGCTAGACCACCATCGAAAACCTGGAAGCACTGGACGGCCGTTTCGTCCTATTATGGGACTCCTCTCGCTCGCGAGAGCGGGTTCGTGGATGCGCACTGCTGAGGAGTCCCATAATAGGACGAAACGGCCGTCCAGTGCTTCCAGGTTTTCGATGGTGGTCTAGCTTCAATTGACTCATGATTTCAACTGTGAAAATTAAAAAAAGATACAAAAATCCCAACAGCATTCAACCAGCAGCACAGATAAAATTCGATCAAATGAACTGACCCGTCTATTTGCTTTATTTATGTTTGTAATATTTCACGAATTCAAGTTGAAAAAAAAGTAAGACAGTATAGACAGGTCGGAGATACAAAACTGGGACTGATTCATTTAATCAATAAGTCACACTACAGTATTCAGTAGACGTTACACTGTAATGAAAATCTAAATCCAACACAACAACTAGATCATTAATCATATCCATCATAAATAAAACATGATCAAAATCATACAGTAGAATTTCACTTGTTTCCCTGTATAACTAGTTAGACAATGTCTAGTCAATAATTCACATTCAATTAAGGTTACATTCATTAAGGTGGATCAACATATTCTAACGAAATCAATTCACAACAACAATGGTAAAGCTATACATACATCAATTCAAATCATGATTGACTTCTCTTGAACTATTCAATGACAAATGATCTCCAACTAGAACATTTCATTTTCATCATTCATTATTCTAGGAATATCTTTTACTCTCTGTCTCCCTCTCTCTCACACACACTCTCTCTGCCTCTCCTTGTCTCTCGATTACTCGCATCCTATACAAAAGGGATTATTTTTTAACCCTGAATATTTAATAATATGACAGATGATAGAAAGTTAATTTATTCAATGTTACAATCAACTTAATTAACGAATAAACATATGTTGTACAATAGAATTCATATCCAATCCTATTCCATTTTAATTTTCATAGTAGTAGTAATAATAATGAGTGAACGAATAATTGAAATGAAACCATAATTCCAAAGGCTAATTGCTTTAAACAAACCTTTTAAGAGTCTGTATTCTGTCTAACTCGAAGTATCAAATTCATGGGAGTTTCTGGTGACAATTTTGTGAGGTTTATGACCAAATCAAAAAAGAAAATAATCCAAACAAATGTTTAATTAATGGAGGGATAAGTGTTGATAAAAATCAATGAAACCAAATTTTAACAAAATAAGCTGTTAGTCATTTGTACATCTCAGTCATACAGGAAATCAGTCTCGGTTTAGATAACTCAGTGTTAATGCCTCTGACTGTAAAGCTGGATGATACAATATCAAATCCATCAGGTGGTATTAGTTTTCTCATGACTGCAGGTAAACCTTTCTGACGAGCAGCAAATAGCATGAAAATTGGGTTTCTGTCGACTACCTCCAACCATCACCTCATTATTAATAAGGCTTGTATGTAACGTAACGTTTTGATGAGCGTCATCTTACATTCCAGTTGTAGGCTTTATTTTTCAGACAGTTTTATAAATGTTTACGCTTCGAAAATTTTAATGTCAGTTACACGTACAATTCGATCGACTAAGGACTAGCCTAACATGATTATTTAGTGTCATTCCCTCGCTACGACTAATTCATTATTTTAGTTAGACGACCATTGATAACCAATGAACATAAAGCAGATTTTTTGTCCTAATATAGGATTCAGCAGTACTTATCCATGACCGCACCATATATTGAACATAAGACCTTCAGGTCTCTTAATCTTTAGACCTTTGATTCGTAATCCAACCGTTTACATTTCTCAATTTGTGATAATGAACAACTATCTTCTAATATCTCTTAACTGCACTCAACTTGGACTCTTTGATTTATCATGTTACTTTTTTCAAGTAATATCTAAACGACGCCTTTTAAACTTTTCATTCCACAAAATCATAACATGATACTTCCATAATGAAACTATCAGAAATCAATGAAACCTTTTTTAAACCTTATTTTTTTTAGCTCATTAAGTTGTTTGTTTGTTTGTATTCAATCTACAACTGTCAAATTCTTTTGGATTCATTTTTTCCATTTCCTTTGTTTCATTATAAATCAATTTATGAATAAATATTTTTCAGTATTAGTTAATAGTTTAATTCATTTATTCATTCATTTGTTCACTTTCAAGTTAATTTTCTACCTCTTCCTATAAAAATATACTACTGATGAAAAGATTGAATACCCTCAATAATAAATAACTGACTTATATAGTCTAGTTAGTTAGTTAGTTAGTTCATTAGGTTAATTTGAGTTGTGAGTAAATGGATTTTTTTCACTTTTAACTTTCTAGGTCCTTGTGTTTGGTTGTTTTCTTTTTTCATTTTTAATTCTTAGTAAAGGAATTATAATTTCTTAGTTCACCTCAAGTGTATGACCTTCATGTATATGTGTAACATTATTGTCCTGAATTGAAGATAATATATCTCTATATATAAACGTTATATGTAATATTATATTGAATGCATCAAATTAGCTTGGCTATCATTTTCCCATAAAAGTTTCCCAATGATTCATTTTTAGCAGAGTGATATTGTTTGAAAGATGATGGGTAGATAAATGAGTGATTTTCTTTTTTCCAATCATATCTCCCAATCTATTTACTTCAAAACATTCCTTCTCAATATATACTCATACATATAAATAAATCAATATATCTATGAACGCAGTGAAAGATGTTCACGTTCAAATGCGTACAATATATATAGGTTTACCATAATTCAGTCTATAATGGTTTCTATCTTCATGGTAGACAAATACAAAAAAATGAGATGCCTCATAGAAGGCTTTATTATTGGAATCCACACCTCGCCTTATCCCACGGATATCTGTCTCCGGCGGTAAGGTCCCAACAAGTACAGAGCTAACACAAAAAAGGTCGTGTGTGACTGATCTCAAGCAGTTGTCCGTTAGGCACTGCGGTCACTATCTCAGGTCATTAAGACACTTCTAACCCAATTTCCTTTTCAGGTACCCCTAGAAGAACTCTTACACGGTGTGGGCAACCGGGAAGTGATAACTGCCCTCATACCTCTAACAGCACTCAAAACAACTTCTTCTTGAAAGGCATAAACTTTCCATAATATTGTTTTGTTTCATTTGTCCGTTCATTCATTCACTTACTATTATTATTATTATTCTAATGAAAATTAAAATGGAATAGGATTGGATATGAATTCTATTGTACAACATATGTTTATTCGTTAATTAAGTTGATTGTAACATTGAATAAATTAACTTTCTATCATCTGTCATATTATTAAATATTCAGGGTTAAAAAATAATCCCTTTTGTATAGGATGCGAGTAATCGAGAGACAAGGAGAGGCAGAGAGAGTGTGTGTGAGAGAGAGGGAGACAGAGAGTAAAAGATATTCCTAGAATAATGAATGATAAAAATGAAATGTTCTAGTTGGAGATCATTTGTCATTGAATAGTTCAAGAGAAGTCAATCATGATTTGAATTGATGTATGTATAGCTTTACCATTGTTGTTGTGAATTGATTTCGTTAGAATATGTTGATCCACCTTAATGAATGTAACCTTAATTGAATGTGAATTATTGACTAGACATTGTCTAACTAGTTATACAGGAAGACTTTTGACTAAAATAAAATTCGAAATGATAATTTGGTAATCATCAGTATAGTATGATCAGTTGTACCGATCTTGTTGTTATTTGGATTGAGATTTTCATTACAGTGTAAAGTTTACTGAATACGGTTGTGTGGCTTATTGATTTAACGAATCGGTCTCAGCTTTGTAATTCCGACCTGTCTATGCTGTCTTACTTTTTTTTTCAACTTGAATTCGTGAAATATTACAAACATAAATAAAGCAACTAGACGAAAGGTTGTGCATTTTATATTGTTTTTATTTAAACTTAAAAGAAATTGATGGTAGTCGTTGAAAAACTTTTTGTCATAGACTTTTGACTAAAATAAAATTCGAAATGATAATTTGGTAATGATCAGTATAGGGTTGTAGCGATTGCTGAGTTTAGAGTGATATCATGAATAGATCGTTATGAAACCACCATTGAAAACCCCGGAAGCAATGAATGATCGCTTCGACCTAGTATGAGAATCCTCAGCAGTGCGTGTCCACGATTTGGCACGTGTGACTTGAATCCAAGACGCTTGGTCTCGAGCGCGAACGGTTAACCACCTGATCATTAAACCAGCATTCAATGGTTCCATTGTCTAGGTTCAATCAATCCACGATACTGCGGGACCGTCCACCATTGTCTTCAGTGAATAACTGCCGCACAACAGATACGGTTGAATTCCAATGGTCACGGTTTCTCAATAGAACTCCAGGAAATCTTTCTTGAAAGCGAGCCACTAATGAGCACATAATAATTATCAGTATAGGATTGTGAAGATTGTTGAGTTTAGATTGATATCATGAAATGGATCAATTTGGTAATGAATAATTAAAGAACTTAAATAGGAAATTTTTATCTGTTATCAAAGAAATGAAGATAATTTCTTAGCTGTTTATTCATCCTGTTCAGTGTTTCCTGGCTTATAATTGTTGTCGAACTCAAGTCGTTTTCTCGATCTCAATAAATGACACTAATCAGTAAAAATAATTGATTCACATCATAGCTATTTGATGTTCAAAACCTTTTGCTTAAAATATGCAAAACGTCTTTTTTATAGCATTTGTGTTTTTCCAACGAAATATGATGAATTTACTTTTGACATATGGAGGTATCAAATGATACATATAATATTAATGTTTGCAAGTTAATCATTTGATCCGATCAATATTATAGTACGTCTCGTAGTGGAACAATAAGCATTGACCCCTTGTTAGCATATTACAAATCAAACGCTTCTATTAACCTGAGGCTAAATCTACATGGCAACTTGAACACAAGAGAAAAGACAAGAAGTGTGGAAAGACTACTTAACTCCAAGGTTCCTTTATGTACAGAAAATTGAAAGGCATTTATAGTAGTTGAGTTACCCTTCAGCTTGTGGTAATTTCTTTCATTTCTTTTTCAGAGCTTCATGAACAGAAACTTCTGTATAACATATTACCGTTCTTCAAAGAACATTCACAGCAGTTGTTATAACGTGTGAGTGTGTGCGCCCAGTTGTTATATCGACTGAGTGTGCCTACGTGCTTGCCCAGTTAGTATATATGATGTTATAAGACCGCCTATCAGAGAGCAGTGATTTTATCGATTGCCCAATGATATACAAAATCGCATGAGCAGTCTTCATTACTTGTCAGTCCAGTTCTGCTTTCTAGCTAGCCCAGTCAATTAAGTCCAGGACACCAATAACAGCCTCAGAAATATGAATCATTATTCACAAACATACTGGGTCTATATATCAACCAAACAGACCACATCGTACCATAAAATAGATGATAACATTTGTACAAGATTTGGCCAAATGTGGCTGTGAATAGGGGGAAAGTAATCAATAGACCGGGGATAACTCAAGAATCGTATAATAATAGTTCAAAGGTCAAAGTAAAGCTAATGATAAAAGGAACACGAATACGATTAGGTTAGTTACTTAACAATTATACAATAGGAAATATACATATTACATTGGTCCATAAATAGATCTCAGAGTTAACATTCATAATTCACCAGGGGATATAACATTAGTGTAATATATCAAATTATGTCACTAATCCATAAACATTATACTAATAGATAGAAACTATTCAATTCCTTTTTTTGAATAATATCAACTAGTGTGAATCCTAGAGTGCAAGAGAATCGATGCATTTCATTAAGTGATGTTACTTTATTGTTAAACAAGAATAGTTGTAAAATATAAAGTTGACAGAACTACACATCAACTTTAAACAGATAAATACTAACTTACATTTTCGTTTGATCATTCCATTTGTTCGAAAATCAACTACTGCTACTCTCCATCTTTGTGTAGCTGTACCATAACCGTATACAGCAGCAGCCATAGCTCTACCACCTGGTTCTGTAACTAATCCAGTAAACACAACTATTTCATCAGTTCTTTGGGATGAAGTTGATGATGCAGACGACCATTTATCATCATTGGTTTGAAATTGTTGATGACTGTCTGCATGCAATTGGTTTATAAGTGAAATATTATTAGTATCATTATTGATATTGTTTACTGTACTGGTATTAACAGTAGTAGTAATAGTGGTTATGGTGGTCGTTGTACGAGAAGCAGCATCCGAACTTGGTCCAGTAGTAGTAGGAATTGTGTTTTTATCAAAAACAATCCTTTGTTCTTCAGATGTAGAAGGTATATCTGTTACTTTTACTGAAGCTGATTTAATCTTATCCACAGAGTCTTCACTATCATCCAACATATCATCATGATGAGTTTGACTTTTCATTGAATCATCTTCATTATTGTTAACTTGATATCGATTTGATTCGTTAATACTCCATTGTCCAGTACGTAATGGAATAGTATGCCAACATTTACCTTCATCTGTACTAAAACGTAAAACATCTGGCCACAGAGTTTCAGCTGGGACAGCTACAATTAAACCTCCACGATTAGCTATTTGATAATGATGTGGTCCATCAAGTGCCTACAGAATAAATAAACAAGATGAAAGAAATAATTTAGTCAATGGAACTGAGGAGTTCTCAGTAAGACTGATCTTTAAGTAGCGAATGAATGGAATTGTGTGGATATAACAAGCAACCAAGTGATATATACGGAAGCTAGAGATAGGATTTTTAAAGATAATTCAAACGAAAAAATGGCGGAATATCTATTTCACCTTGCTGTGCTATTCCATATCAGTGTACACTTATAACTTGGACACGAGTAGAACCTGTAGAGTGAGGTGAATGACTTTATTAGTTTTAGTGCAAGATAGATTTTATTGGCACATACACAATCTTTAAATGATATTATTTACACTACATAATCTAATATCATGGCCATTCTAATACATTATTATGTTTATCCAGTGTTCGTATCTACTCGCGGAATCAATACTGAAAAGTTCGTATATAAAAACGATTAGACAGCTGAATAGTCAATCATTTGAAGAGATCCCTTCACTGAATTTCGTGTTATTATGAAATATTAAAATAGAATGAAATGGCTGATTTAGTCATTGAGAATGGAAAAACCATGGGTGATTATTAAAGTTATTTGGATGTACCTTCATAACAATAGTACTCTAACCTAATAATTCCCTGTTTTGAACGCTAATGCATTATCCACTAAGCTACTGGTTCCAGGTAAGTGCTGGGTTCGAACCTCAGCGTGAACAGCTGTACTAAGATCCAATAACACAAGGCTGATAACTCCTAAATAGGACGAAACTTCCATTCTGGACACCACTACTAGTCATAATCCTATGCTACAGAATGGTCGAGACTTAATGGTTATGTCAAGGAAACTCCATCTGGATGAATATATATACTAATAGACATTATTTAATTAAAGACCTTAATATCAACAGCTGGAAAATATTTACCCTTACAAATAATTTATATAGATTTGAAGGAAGAATCAAAGAAAATGATTGTTAGCTTTTTCTTTTAAGGCTGTCTGGGTTTAGTAGTTTGAACCTATTTTTTCATGTCACAAATTAACACTAGTCATGGGATGGTACTGAAACCTGAGGGATTATTGAACGGTTAATTAATCCCATCTTAAAAATCCTGAACGGTAAACATACCTTCAAATCCCTTTGTAACTGAATCTAGGACTTCTAAATTTCGCAATGAGTACATTAGGCTAGGATAACTAAGACAAAATCTAATAGTTTTAATTTCTTTCAACACAATCAATTCCAGTTGCTACTTAGTTGAAGGTTGCTAAGAGGAAGTGCCGAACAAACCTAGATTTCATGTTATTGGGTACTTGTAGACAAGGTGTAGCCGCAGTAGAGACGAAACTACTGATCCCTATTATATTCGAAACGGCATCAGCCGTCTTTATAGTCCAAAACTTTACGACTAAGCTATTTGAGATACTAAATGAATTTATGACAGGGTAATGTCATTATTTCAGCTATCGGCTAGATCTATTTTACTCTCAACATGTTGAAATTTCACTAGTTATTAAAAATCCATTCTGAAACTGGTCACTTATCAGTGGAGAAGTATTATCAATTACCTGTCAGTTTAAAATGAAAAGTAACTTTAGAAAAAAAAACTATTCTATGTTTAATATAACAGTTAATATTATTTATTTATTTAAACACATAAACATTGGTACAAGGAAGCACCAGACAAATATGCGCCGCACCAAACTCATTTGATTTGATGGGAGGGCTGTGATACTGTCCAGGTGCTCACACTGATACAGGTGGTTTTCTTAGGGTAGCCACACCTGGAGCCTTTGAGCTAAAGGTCTGATCCACAAGGCAGTGGAGAATCGTGAGGAGATGTGGTCTCATGGTAGTCGGTGACCAACGATTGACTCACATGCCATTTGTTCCCACAGGATACTGGAGCCCATGTGCACCATTGGTTTGGAATCAGGGTTTTCCAACTAACCTAGGTGAACATTCCGTGTCCACCAACCCGGTTAAAGCGCCGTACATTGGATTTTCGTCCTCTCAATTTCGCAAACAAAAGTAATGCCACTGTGAGAAGGCAGTAAGTAGGACTTCCCTGGTAGAGGCTATATACGCGTGGCCATGTGAGAGCATTTTGAGAGAGAGGACTGCTCCCCACTCTCGGCTGTGCCAAAAAAAGCGAATGTCCGACACTTTACCCGGGTTGGTGGATAAGGAGGGTCCACCTAGGATATTTGGAAAACCCTGATTCAAACCAATGCTGCACATGGGCTTCAGTATCCTGAACGAACAAGTGGTGCATGAATCAATAGTTGGTCACCGACTACCATGGAATTGAACCTCCTCATGATGCTCCACTGCCTTGTGTATCAGACATTCAGGTTGAAGGCTCCGGGTATGGTCCCCTAAGAAAATCACCTGTTTCAGTTTGGGCACCTGGACAGTATCACAGCACTCCCATCAAATCAAATGAGATTTGTGTGGCGCACATGTATCTGTTGCTTCCTTGTACCAATATTTATGTGTTTGAATAAATAAATAACTGTTAACGGAGAAATGATAATAATGATGACAGTACAATATTATAAATCTAATTAAATCGGAGGTTTAGACTATCACTGTTTGAAACAGTGATCTAACCATAACTCTCTTACCATAATCCTAGAAGGCAATGAGGGTTTGATCGCTACAATTGTTCTTTATCCAGTAAGCTCAAGTTTGAAATATATGTCTAGTATTTTAAACTATTAAGAAATATCAGAAGGGGCTTTTGTGAATATTATAATAATCTTAATAGTTGATATAATGAGCCAAATGAAGCTAGACCACCAATAGAAAACCTGGAATCACTGGATAACCGTTTCGTCCTACTGATGAGTTCCATAATAGGTCAAAAGCCTATCGGTTAAGTGCTCTGGCTCGAGAATGGTAGGTCCTGAGTTCGAATCTCGCGAGGCGAGATCGTGGATCCGCACTGCTGAAGAGTCCAACAATAGGACGAAACGGCCATCCAGTGTTTCCAGGTTTTCCATTGGTGTTTTGTTAACTATTGATTATACAATTTTTGATTATATTACTGATAGACTTTGTTATGACTCGTAAGTTGAACGCTTTATTCGGATCCTAGCTATTCGGATAACCCCAGGCTAGCACTACTCAGCGACTTGGAAGACCAGAGAGAAGACACGAGTATCAGAAGCACTTTACTACAAGGTTCAATTATGTGCAGAAAAACAGGGGTTTTATAGTAGCTAAAAGACCTTGAGATCCCATAGTAACAGTATGTTAACAGCCAATCAGGACCTTGTTATTTTAGTAGCATAGCTTCTAACTAATCGCTGATTGGTTGGTCTCTTTATGAGCCTCTCTGGAGGCTCTGATAGAGTTTATTGTAAGCCGATCTAACAGACTTTAAATACTTAAGAATGATTATATAAGATATTTTTTTTCTCCTAAGATCTCTATCACAGATATACATGTGAGAAATTAAATAGTCTAAAACCTATATTCCCATGCTGACAAATTAGATTAGAGTTAATTAAATGGATACTAATCTCATGATAAACAATATTCATATTTAAAATATCTATGTTATAGAATAAATGATCCAGTTTAAAAAAGTGAAGACGAAAATGAATGTATGATATCAAGGAGATTTTGATAAAACATAGTTTATTCATCGAAGCCAGGATCTTAAGTCCAGCATGCGAATGATTAACATCAAAACTACTGAGCCGGAATCCAATGGTGTACAAATCTAGCTCTAATTAATTGGAGATATTTCATTGTCTTTCATAGATAAATTCCTAACACGCGACAAAATCATTACGTTCAGGAGGAAATTTTCAAAGTCCTAGTGAGAAGCTGTGGTCAGTGAATTTTGAAAGCATTTGATGTAAGGATGGTGCTCACCAAAGACAATCGAAAACTGCCATGCAATGTTCTAGCTTAGTGGTTCTGAGATTGGACATTTACGCGCTGAATCAATGATCGTGGTCCCAATTGTCGGTTGTGGTTAGTGAAAGAGCATTGCTACGGAGCCCCACACTAGGATGGAACAGACATTTAGTTATTCCAAGTTTCCAATGATTGTCTAACATAGATCGGTTGGTGATCTCAATAAAATTCAACAATCTCTATCGCTCTCGTACTACAAATAGTTTCTTTTAGGAACTTTTTTTGAAAAAAAAAACAATCAACTAATATCAGTATTATATCAAAGAATAGATGTTAGTTGTGTACGTTCGCTGATCAAGGCCGTCTCGGTTTTGCCAACATTCGTCACTTGTAGAGTACGAGAGATATTCCTTAGTCAACTAAAAGACGCGTTTACTGAGCAGCAATTCACTATGTCTTACTTTATAGCAAAGAAACGTGCCTAATAAAAGTAGCGGATATTCCATGTTATTGGGATATAATCATAAATGTCTTCAAAACATACCTCGCGTTTGTTTGGGGTCACCAAGTGAGAAATGTTAAGGTTATGTTCAAGATAGTAACTTAGGATGATAAATCGATTGATGATACAGTGAATTTTTATCTATTAGGGTGGAAAGGAGATATTTCATAACTGCCAAACCGCCTCCTGATTCGATACGCGATTTTCGCTAGTGTAGAAGTGGTTTGGCAAAGTGTTAGGAACAACTAAGTCAAGATGCTATCAACCCACGCAGTCACTGACTGTTAGGTATTTCGGTAGACGCAAATCACCAGGTTGGGGTTTGCGTGATTGTCATAACAAACTGTTGAGCGTCATAGGTCAGGATCTTTCTCCGTGGCTAAATTTGATTCACTCTACGTCTTCTCTTAGATCTCAAGTTTCGTAGTTCCTGGTAAATTTTTTTATTCCACCAATTCATAAATTTGATATCCAATCTTTTTTATTCCCACTGATTCTACTGGGTATACTGACTGGAACCTACGTACACGTGTTTCTGGTTACATGTCACGTATGGTTGACTGACTGAAATTATCAGTGTATCTAAAAGCTTTATTTCGCTCTTAGTGTTGTGTATAGTCAATCTAATTTCAGATATAATAATAACGATGTATTTTGAATTTAAAACAATCTTGTGATGTAGACAAAATTGACATGTTAGCGAAAGATAAACAAATATTGTCATACCTCACCACATTAAAACTATTAAATAAGAGTAACAAGATTAACAAATAAGAGGTTGAATTAACGTAGTGGCAAAAACAATAAGATAGATTGAACATTGAGGATATCGTTCGGAAAGGTACAGTGTAAAGATACGTATAAAAGTAGACTAGAATTAAAAATCTAGAGAAAGATCAAGTGTCAACCTCAATACTTAACATTTGGACCAATTCCGAGACATCACTCCTAATATCTTCAGCAATCATTTAGAATAGTTGCAAGGATCCCAACCAAGTAGTCTGAACCTATCAAACGCTTCAGTTTAACAGTTGATGATTTCATGATGTGACACTAAATCTTGGATTGTTTACCCCTAGGTTTCTTCACACCTACTAAAAGTCAGGCTAACAAACCGCAAGAAAGTAGATGGTAGTTGGGTAAACGTAATATGCATTCCAATTATCTCGTTAGCTGAATATTAACTACTTTGACAACTCATCCTAAATCTTGACCTAAGATCTTGAATCTAAACTTAGTACTGTTTACCCAAAAGTATATCATCTTACAGCCTGGACCGAAGTCAAAACTTATAAGTCAATTGTTTACATTTAAGGGTTAAAAAAGAACTCCATAGCTATAGTATCTCACTGTATGTGGCTAATGTACACAAACGCGACAGCAACCGTTGAGGAAAATAAGCTTCACTTAGTTTCATGGAAGTTGACATTATCAGAACAGCACATCTGCAATAGTGTAGGGAACGAATACCAATCAGTAGGTTTTGATAAAACAAAAGCTTTCACCTAACCAGATATCATGATTAGATAATTATATTTTTATTACTTGTCAACAGGGAATCTTAACTCATAATATAATTAACATACACTGAAATAAAAATATCACTAAATAATTCCAGAATAATACATTTTATCATACCATATTACTTACTTTAAGCCATGTATATCCACCATCAGAACTAACAAACACATCGGCTGGTGTATTTTTCAAATGTGTTGCTACATGTCCATGAGCTAATATCAATCCTGGTGCTGCGGCTATTGATAATGGTGGAGAAGCAATAACACGATTTTTAATGCTGAATTGATTGCTTATTTGTAAACCACAAACCTATAATACGATAGGTAACGAAAATCAGAAATACAGTTCTAAAAAACATAATGTGAATGTGTACGTTGATTTAAAACAATATGATTGTAATATTGAATTATTCATAAGTGAACAGATCCTTACAGATATTGAACCATGAACTGATCCTCGAAATTCATTTCTTTTAATGAGTAAGCTAACCTTCAGTAGAAGAAACAAAATCAAAGGTGTGCTGCTTTGACGGATTTTATTTTGTGTCACTCAGTATCTCCAATCAGTGATTTCAAATACCGTGTAGGACACAACTTGAGGATATCCAGCTTTTACCAACAATAAATGACTTCATGAACACAATTCATCTTTTAATCTGACCAATTCTAACTTTTCTCAATCTACTATGTTAACGAACCATGCATAGGCGGTGGTTACACATAAGTCGTACTTTTGCTAAACACCACAATATATGGGTGTTTACAGTCTCATCAATGGACTTGGTATTTTTAATTAGTATTCTATGGTTAAGTGAAGCGTTACTCACTCAGTCTTTCATATAGGAACAATCCTTTAGGACCAGTCAAAATTAATACTTAGACTGAATGCCAATAAATTAAGCCAATCGAATATAGCTGTGTTGAAATTGTCTCCAAATTTTTTGATACTTTTTTTAGATTATGAATTTAAATTGTCTCAACGATAAGGAGAAGAACAACATGTAAACGAATTGTTTTTCATGGAGAGGAAAGTTTTCCAACCGAGTACTTTTTCCGTATGTGGATTTGTGGAGATTTTAGTATTTTGACAGTCGAAATCATGAGTCAATCTAAGCTAGACCACTATTGAAAACCTTTAAACACTAGATGACCATTCAATCCCAGTATGGGACTCCTAAGCGGTGCACAAACAAATAAGTGAATACTCACAGCACATTTTTAATTTCGAAAATAGGGTAAGAATAGACTCTACTCTTATTTTCAATTTTGATTTTGCACTTGGCAACCAACCAAATTTTACACAAATTTACACTATCATAATCCATGATGGAGAACGTGTTTCGTTCTCTGTCGTTTTGGCTGGCATACGTGAAAAAATGTAAAGTAAACATTTGCAAGGAGATCTTTGTCAAACGAATTTTCCAATAAACTATATATTTAAATGTACACATGTGTATAGTGTTTTACAGTTTGCTATGAACACTATGTAGGTAAGAGTATCCTTCCAAAGAGAAGGAATAAACTCAATGAAAGCAGAATATGTAACTCAAAAGATTACTAACAGTTACGATAGTAAAAGACCTTAGTATACACTTAGTATATAGGATTAAGATTTCATATTCTGAAAATATAAAACTCATGTTGCATTAAAAAGCTAGAAATGAAGAAAGAATGACAGATATTGATTGATCCTGTAAACAGTAATAAAATCTGCATCTATGCTAGTTTTGTGTTTCATTAATTGTTCCACGACTAAACGCCTAGCAACAATCTTATAGAATGAAGCAGGAAATGTTCTCACATATTTCACTTGGTCAAATAACGTTTTCTAATGTCATTAAGGTAATCAACTAATCAATGTTAAACCACCATTGAAAGCCTGGAAGCACTAGAAAGCCGTTTCGTCCAAGTATATGATAACTTATCGTTTAGGTATATCAATATTGTGAACACTTTGATTCTGTAAAAAGTCATTTTAAACAAGCTAACATTTTCAGTATAGGATTGTGAAGATTGTTGAGTTTCAATTGATATCATGAATGGATCAATGTCTGATCATCATTGAAAACCTGGAAGCACTGGATGACCAGGTTTTTAATAGTAGTTTGAAATTGATCCATTCATGATATCAATTGAAGATAAAATTTAACAATTCTATTTAAAATAGTCGAAAACTTGAAACAATTTGTAGAAATCTATCCATAAAATAAATTCATTGTTATTGCTTGAACGGCCTCCAAATGCCCTAGTACAGACGAGAGTGGAGAGATTCCACTATCCCTCTCAAAATACCCTCACATGGCCACGCGTATATAGCATCTCCCACGGAAGTCCTACTCACTGCCTTCTCGTGGCGGAAGTATTGTTTACAAAAATGAGAGAACGAAAAGCGAATGTCCGGCGCTTTAACTTGGTTGGTGAATACGGAGGGTTCACCTAGGATAGTTGGAAAACCCTGATTCCAAACCAATGGTGCACATGGACTCCAGTATTCTGTGGGAACAAATGGCGTATGAATCAATCGTTGGTCACCGACTACCGTGGGACCACATCTAATCACGATTCTCCACTACCTTGTGGGTCAGAATATTAGGTCAAAGGCTCCGGGTGTGGCCTCTTAAGAAAACCACCTGTATCAGTGTGGGCACCTGGGCATTATCACAGCCCTCCCATCAAATCAAATGAGATTTGTGTGGCACATATGTATCTGGTGCTTCCTTGTACCAATATTTATGTGTTTAAATAAGTAAGTAAATATATGTTTGAAAGACAAACTGATAATTCTTTTTCTCTTCATAATATTTCGTTGAAAATTCTTACACTAATGATTATACCTCACATTAATAGTGAAATTATAAGGACATAAGATATCTGAACAACGTTATTATTGAGAAGATTCATTGAAATTACCTAATAGATATGATCATAGGGTTTCTTGTGGAGACGCAGTATTTGCATAGTTGAAAGCGTGAGTCAATTGGAGCAAGACCACTAAGGAAAACCTAGAATCACTGGACGGCCAACTCATCCTATTATGAGACTCCTCAGCAGTGTGCATCCACGATCTCACCCACAATAGAACGAACCGACCGTCCAGTGCTTCCAAGTTTTCCATTGGTGGTCTATCTTCTATTGACTCACGCTTTCAACTATGAAAATATTATATCTCCACAAAAAACCCCTTCTGATTACAAATGAAATCGATAAACTAATAAATTAAAAATAAACCTAGAAAAAAGCAAATATTTTTTCATAAATGTAAACAATTAGGTAACTTGACAAAAACACTTGACATTATTAACCTAAACATGATTACATGCAAACATGTACATATATAAAATGTTCATATGTAAGTGAAATGGAATTAAGAATCTTAGCTCTATCTTCATATATATTCGAGGTCAGTGATAGATGATAGTTGAATTAAACGTTCTAGTCACTTATCGGTTTATCTCTCATGTTATTGAATATTCGTTTAAACGAAGTCAAGTTATCATAACATATTCAGTATAGATACAAACACGATAGTAGATTTTTTTAAAAAGTTGAATAATTCAACGAAGTGAAATGCAAATTAAAATTTAACTCTATCTATTTGGCCCCCAAATGCCCTGGTACGGCCGAGAGTGGGGAGAGTCTACTCTCTCTCTCTCTCGAAATGCTCTCACATGGCCAGCGAATATATAGCCTCTGCCAGGGAAGTCCTACTCACTGCCTTCTCGTGGCATTAATGTTGATTACGAAATTGAGAGGACGAAAAGCGAATGTTCGGCGCTATAACCGGATTGGTGGACACGGAGGGTCCACCTAGGGGAGTTGGAAAACCCTGATTCCAAACCAATGGTGCACATGGGCTCCAGTATCCTGATGGAACGAATGGCGGAAGAACCTGCTGTTGGTCAACGGCAACCATGGGACTGCATCTCCTCACGATGCTCCACTGCCTTGTGGATCAGACCTTTAGGTCAAAGGCTCGGGGTGTGGTCCCCTAAGAAAACCACCTGCTTCGGTTTGGGCACCCGGGCAGTATCACAGCCCACACACAAACAAATGAATGAAATTATGAACTTTATTGACGATATCCCTGGTCATACTAAAAGCAAAACAATTAACATTATTATTATTATTACCTTTATTATTATTATTATTATTATTATTATTATTATTATTATTATTATTATTATTATTATTATTATTATTATTACTTACCATATCGCTAACTCACCCCCTTTTATCCCCAATTTGTGTAACCTTACTCTTCAACTTATGCAGCAGCTCGCTCTTGGTGGAAAATCTGTCCTATCTAAACGATCTCCAGTCACTGTCTGGTTGAAAGTGAATGCTTCCACCGATTATGAATACTGAGGCAGTCTTTCTGAAACCACGTACGCCGTTCAAGCTGGCTTCCTTCAACGTTCGCACACTAATGCAGATCAGACAACAGATAGGGCTGGCTATGTCTTTGGAAGGTCTTAATGTTGACGTTTGTTGTCTATCCGAGACCCGTATTCAAGACTCTAGTGAAGTACTACAAATCCGCTCTCCATCTGTCGCCTCGAAAAGCTTGTTCCACGTGCGCTTATCCGGGGACCCTGTGGCATCTTCGTCTGGTCTTGCTGGCGTTGGTGTCGCACTAAGCGCTAGAGCTGAGGCAGCACTAATCGATTGGATCCCCATTAACAGTCGGTTATGTGCTGTTAGATTAGAAAGTTCCATCAAAGTGAGAAGAAATCGGCGTGAGAAACGGTGTCTTTTCGTCATCTCCGCCTATGCCCCGACAGATTGCAGCCCGGATGCAATCAAGGATGAGTTTTACCATCAGTTAACAGTTCTTCTCCAGAAAGCGCGTTCGACAGATATTGTAGTACTAGCCGGAGACTTGAATGCACAGGTCGGGCGTCTAGGCACAGAAGAGAGTCGTCTAGGTGGCCGATGGGGACTTGTTGGTCGCAGGACAGATAACGGGGACCGTTTGCTGCAACTGTGCACAGACCACAACCTGTTTCTGGCCAGCACTAACTTCCGGCACAGTCATCGCCGGTGTGCCACCTGGCGTCCTCCCTCTGCATCCCAAGCCTGGACTCAGATTGATCACATCGCGATCAGCTACCGCTGGCGTGGTTGTGTACAAGACTGCCGCTCCTTTTGGAGTACCTATCTGGAGTCTGATCATGCCCTGGTCTGCGCCAATCTCACCTTACTTTTCAGTGGCCGAAGGATTGACCACCACCAACGGATTGATATTAGTAAACTGGCTGCAACTTCTGTTGCAAGTAAGTATCGAGCGGAGCTAGCCTCTAGGCTAGCTAACACCCCACCGAAAAGTATAGGTAAGCATTGGTTGCATCTTCATGACGCCATGAAAATGGCGAGTAAAGCCGCTTGCGGCTTCGCGAAACGTCCCGCTTACAAGCACTGGGTTTCTTCTGGCTCCTTACAACTGATGGAAGCCCGTCGGTCTACTCCGGGTGACCGTGAGTTTGACCACAAACGAAGGCTGTTACGTAATGAAATCGGGCAAAGCTTGTGTAAGGACCGGGAAGCCTGGTGGTCGGAGCGTGCTAATGAGATGGAAGCAGCAGCTGCATCTGGTAACTGCCGGAAGCTCTTCCAACTCATCCGAGCCACTGGCAGCAAGAAGTCTGGTGTGAGTGAAACAATCTACGAGGATGACGGGATGCCAATCACTAACATCTGTCGACGTCTTGGACGATGGGCGGAATTTTTCGAAGGGCAGTTCAACTGGCCTGCTGCTCCGGCAACATCAACCAGCTTGTCCTGCTCCCCATGGCCGGTGACGACTGATCCACCAAACGAGGCGGAAGTCCGCAAGGAACTCCAACTCTTGAAACGTTATAAATCACCTGGCCCAGATGACTTACCTCCGGCTCTTTTTAAAGATGGTGGTGACTTTCTGGCTAAGGAACTGACTGCGTTGTTTGGAAAGGTTTGGGAGCAAGAAAGTGTTCCAACATTTTGGAATGAGTCAATAGTCGTCCCTATCTTTAAAAAGGGTTCACGTTGTTCCTGTAGCAACTATCGGGGGATAAGTCTACTTTCGATCGCGTCCAAACTATTGGCTTCTATCATTCTTCGTAGGTTGTTTAAAACCCGAGAACGATTGACTCGCGAGGAGCAGGCTGGTTTTCGTTCTGGTCGAGGATGCATTGATCACATCTTCACCCTCCGCCAAATGTTAGAACACCGTCATACTTATCGCAGGCCAACAATCGTAGTGTTTCTTGATATCAGGGCGGCCTTCGATTCGTTGGACAGGACTGTTCTCTGGGATTGTCTATTGAAGAAGGGTGTGCCTGAGAAGTTCATTAACATCTTGAAGGCCCTGTATACGAACACCTCAGGCAGAGTGAGGGCATACAACCACCTTTCTCCCTTGTTCCATTCGAGCAGTGGGGTTAGGCAGGGTTGCCCGATCTCCCCATTCCTCTTCAACTTTGCCATCGACGACATCCTAGAAACAGCTCTGATGGATGTAAGTAATGGCGGTGTGGATATGTTGCCTGGAGAACGACTTCTCGACCTCGAGTATGCGGATGATATTGTCTTACTGTGCGATAATGCCCAAGGCATGCAATCAGCACTTAATCAGTTGGCAATCAGTGTCCGCAGGTACGGCATGTGCTTTGCACCCTCCAAGTGCAAAGTACTTCTACAAGACTGGCAGGATTCTCATCCTGTACTCACCCTGGATGGTGAGGAGATCGAAGTAGTTGAGAAGTTCGTGTATCTAGGTAGCTATATAAGTGCTGGTGGTGGCGTGAGTGATGAGATTGATGCACGTTTAATGAAAGCCAGAGCGGCTTATGCCAATCTGGGCCATCTTTGGCGCCTTCGTGATGTTAGTCTGGCTGTAAAAGGTCGGATCTACAACGCGTCGGTGAGAGCAGTTTTGCTCTATGCTTGTGAAACCTGGCCTCTCCGAGTTGAGGATGTTAGACGTCTCTCTGTGTTCGATCATCGTTGTCTCCGAAGGATTGCTGACATCCAGTGGCAACACCATGTTAGTAATGCAGAGGTTCGGCATCGTGTGTTCGGGCGCAGAGACGATAATTCAATTGGTGTCACCATCTTGAAACACCGACTTCGGTGGCTCGGACATGTTTTACGAATGTCGTCCCAGAGACTTCCGCGTCGTGCATTATTTGCCGACCCTGGGACTGGTTGGAGAAAGCGGAGAGGAGGTCAGTGTATGACATGGTGTCGTGGCATGAAAGAGAGCTGCAAAGGGCTAGCTTCCGTTGGTCCTTCACGACTCCCTGGTTGGGGTCCGAGAGATAGTGCAACACAGTGGCTAGAGACGTTATCGGATATGGCTCAGAATAGAAGCCAGTGGCGATCCTGCTGCAACCTTCTTTTACTTTCTACATAAAGAATGGTTCTAACTTTCCTAACTGAAAGAATCTTCTGGTTGTACATTTCAGCCCGCCTTATCTTTTCATCCTTTATCTACCTACTTTCATTATTTTGTGTGGCGCATATGTACCTGGTGCCCTTTTGTACCAATATATATGTGTTTAAATAAATAAATAAAATAATTAGTTGTGTATTAACATGAATTCTTATAGAGAATAGTATGAACCGAATTTTAATACTTACTTAACTATTTTGAGATATAAAGTGATGATTAGGGGTAGTTGGAAGGATATCTTAGACATGGGTTTCGTGTTATTTGACACAGGTTAGCAAGGTGTACCTGTAATCTTGAAAGAAATGTTCACTGACGGATTTGATTTGATGTAACTCAGCTTCACAGTCAGAGACATAGTCACTGAGCTTTTCGGGTCTCAACTGAATTCTTGTACGACTGTAGTGTACTTACAATTGATTGGTCAAGATCCAGTGATTAATCAGTTGTAAAAAAATGATCATTCTCTAAATGGGAATTTTATATAACTTCATATTTTTTGTATACACATAGTTACTTTTTGAATCGTAATACATGATTTTTATGAAGTTTAATGTGTGTATGTCAACTTTTAACATCACTGATTTAAATAAAACGCAATCAAAAATGGTTGGAGGGCAACATATTCTCAGTGATTGTGAACACTTGGAATATGTAGTGATGGGAGGTAGTCCACAGCTAGTTAGATTTCGTAGTAATTGTCATTTGTCAGCAAGGAGTACTTGGAACCATGTGGTATTGATGAGATTCGAACACGTAGTCTGAGACTTTACCACTAGGCTAATCAGGACATCACGTAACATCAAGACATAGTACACCCGGTCATGCCACTAGAACTAAAAGCCATACTGCAACTTGATAGATAGAATTCAATCACCACTAAACAGGCATGTTATTGGTCACTATTTTGGCTTGTTTAGTTGAATGGACCTGCATCCCAGAGTTGATGTTATTTCCGGGGTCCGAATCCAGTGCTTCTCCCTTCAAACGGAATCATGTTATCCATTTAGCTACCGAGTCCAGTTAGTCACTAGGATGTGCAATGGGGTAGATGTTAACAAAGTCGTATAGGCTGTTTGAATCTTCCCATTGAAATTCGGAACAACTTAAAATGCTTGTGGCTTGAAGGAAATATCGTGTATGCGTGTATGCCGACAAGGGACCGACCAATTGAAGTCTTAAACGTCAATCGGAAGATTCAGACAATCATTACAAGATGGATTATTTTAATATTTATCATAGTAACTTTTAGTAAACCTTGGTAAATTTCTAAAACAAGCATACGGATAACCCAAACTGTTTTAAAACGAATCGACTCTAATTATTTCAACTGAGTGAGTATATACAAAAAGAGAATATAAAGATCATCAACAACCTCACCTTTACTGATGACGGGTCTGTAGACAATAAATCACTCATATTTGGATCAGGTCTCCATATTTCACTTGGAGTAGAACTCTCGATATTTGTCTGTACAGGATCTTTCGAAGGACTATTTGTCGTCGAAGTCAAAGAGTTATCAGATGTACTGATTACATCATTGATGTCTTCACTACCCGCATTATCCATCGTATTATTATTATTAGTGTTGGCCTTAACAGTAGACATAGAAGCACCACTAACTGTAGTCTCTGTTATTATTGCCTCTGCTGTCGCATCTGTGGTTGTTGTTGTTGTTGACGATGTCGTTGATGTTGCTGGTTTACTTTGACAAGTATCTTGAACATTTATCGGTGTTCCTAAAGGATGCCAACTTGCACCACGATCATGTGTAATCACTGTATACAATGTACGATCTGGATTTAAACGTGTGGCCAAATATGTACCACGCATTGATGCTACACGATAGAAATCTGTCACAGGTGCATGATTTGGGTATAAATGATGTCGTAGTGATTCACTAAATATTGCACCACTGATATCGGATATAAATAATGCTCCATAACCAGTGTCTACAATGGAAAATGAAAAAATATTAGTAAAGAAGAATTTAGATGTGATAGAATTTTAAAGTTTACATCATGATAAAACTGTAACTAACCAAACACCGAAAATCAAGAAGCACTGAACAGCTGTTTCGTTCTAGTATAGAATTATTCAATAGTGTGTATCAATGACCTCGTCAATGAACTCACGATATCTAGGCCTTACAGAGAATTCTTACACCCCAAACCACTAAGATTAACAGTCGATGGTGTGAGTTCCGAAATTCGGTGAAATAATGATATTATAAGTACATTGTCACTGCTGAGATCATTGAGCTTCACTAGTTAGTCTTAACACATGACAGAATAGAATTCAACATTATTGGTGAATAGTCAAAAGCATTTACTTCTAAATTTGAACCTCTTCCTATTAATAGCTAAGAAGACAAATCTCTTATTAAAAAAATATTTGAAGTATGCTCAAAGGAAAATAATTAAGGTTATTAATTCTGAGCTTTTACCATATAGGTATTACATCCAAGAGAGTAGTCATCCGAGTAGACTACGTCTATTTGGTTTTGGTTGGGGTTCTTCACTTGTGAGCTTCCATTCCCACGTTTTTGGTCTACAAATTTTAAAAATAGACGATTTCTTCTGTCTGAATTTTCACGGATCGGTTTCATCATATACAAACACTTTAAGTATGGAGGTAACACAGTTATGTTGTAGTGAACGAAACACGACTGGGGACAATCGAAAGTATGTAAGCACAAATTACAGACTATCTCACTAAATTCTGATAACCATACAGCAAACAGTTAATTTGCAAAATAACAATCAATTGTCTCAATCTTCACTGTTCCTTCTGTAAATATCAGCTCATCTTCTTTAATTCCATTGTTCATGCATTTTCCTACCAATTGCGGGTTCATTTCAGTTCTTTCGTTATCGGTCTTCTGCCAAAATACATTTTATGCATGACCATCACCATATACTACTTATTAGGATATAAGGAGACCACACCACAACGTTACTCAAAGATTGTAACAAACTGTACAGTCTCATTATTGATAGTGTAAAAACTTTAGTAATCACTTTTCCCATTTTACAAATGCAAAGTTTTACTACACGATTAAGTTGAACTAATGTTAACGACATTGGAAATAAAGACAATAAACTAGCCTCTAAATGATTATTAACAAGACTTTTGACGACTTACATGACATAAGAACTACATACAATGAAACACATTAACTATAGAGAGGTAGTCAGTGTATGACATGGTGTCGTGCTATGAAAGAAAGCTACAAAGGGCTAGCTTCTTTTGGTCCTTCATGACTCCCTGGCTAGGGTACCAGAGGTGGTGCTACACAATGGCTAGAGACGTTATCAGATATGGCTCAGAATAAAAGCCAGTGGCGATCCTGCTGTAACCTTCTTTTACTTTTTTCATAAAGAGTGGTCATAATCTCCTTAACTGAGAGAGTTCTTCTAGTTGTACATTTCAGTTTCCCCCCACCACTACTCTTAATTTTTTTATATGCATCTTACCCTTTTCTCTCCTCCATTTTCATTGTTTTGTGTGGCGCATATATATATATATTTGGTGCCCCCTTGCGCCAATATTTACGTGTTTAAATAAATAAATAAAACTATAGAGATCAGAAATAGTTTCATTCACTGTTTCACATGTCAGCTATATATCATAATTTTTTTCAATTTCAAAATGATAAATTTATCAAATAGATATAAGACTAAGAGATTAGTGTGATTATCAGATTGGTGACCTGATTCTTAAAATAGACCAATCATTAAAGTATACAAGAACAGAATGCAAATGTTGTGTGTATGAATTAATATAAACAGGGGAATCGAATTCTAACTCTCATAAATTGACCTGATTATTCAGAATAAGTGATCAACAAATCAATCGGTCTATAATGAATAAATAATTCAGTCAGTCAATCAATCACATGCAGCCTAGAGTAATTGGTGTAATATAAATGAGAAAATGTCGTCAAGTTCAAATGTGACTTCAGATTTGATTGAAGTCGAATCAAATGTGTTTCGTTTGACTATCTGTATACTTTAAGAATACTGAGTCAAATGTATTTTCATAGTTGAAAACATGAGTCGATTGAAACTAGACCACCATGGAAAACCTGGAAGCACTGCTTGACGACCGTTTCGTCCTATTATGGGACTCCTCAGCAGTGCGCATCCACGATCCCGCACTCACGTGATTTGAACCCAGGACCTACCACCTTCGCGCCGGAGCACTTAACCAATAAACCACTGAGCTGGCATCCAACGGTGTTAATGTCTAACTTCAACTGATCCATGAAGTTGAACAACCGTTCACCAATTGTCTTCAGTGAGTTGATATCTCTACAACAGACTTGGTTGAACTCCACTGTTTGAGTATACTGTGAGTCAGTATTATCTATTGCAAGCAATAATTTGTACTTTGTGTTACAAATCATTGAGTTGATGGCGAATATCATGATCCATTAATTGAAGTTTTACACTCATTAATACAAAATTTCTGAAGTTCTAATGAGAAGTTAAGATCACTGGATTTCAGAAATGTCCGGAGTGAAGAAATTGTCACAAATGGAACTCGATGACAATCGAGTTACATTGATTGAAGCCGGAATTGTATAATTAAACACTATCCCTGTGATTGTATTCGTTGAGAGTTCACTGGAAGACTTAAATGTTCTGAGTTTGAACTATCATGTATTTATGGATACGCACCACTTAAGAGTTTCGTACTAGAACGACAAAAACTGTCCACTAATTTGTGGTTTTCAGTGATAATTCAACTGAAATGAATCTGTAACGAATAACAACATATTAACTTCAACAATTCCTGACAAGACCCTTTCAACGAAAGAAATTAGGCATGTAAATTACCTACTACCCTACATACAATATGAAGTGATCAATACTAATTTAAATGACACTAGAAATATTGACACACCTCAATGATAATGCACAATATCTCTAGCGTAATACAGCTTAATTACACACAGTTAAAATGTTCTAAACACTCATATTTAATCTAACACCAATCTATGGAGAGAGAGAGAGAGATAAAGAGATAAGGATGGAAAACAATTACTTATATTAAAATATAAACAATCAAACAAGTGGCCATATTACTTCTTACACTGAAGTACCTGCCTATTAAAGAAATATTGCATTATTTGATATAGTTCTACATATATCCATATAGATTTATGTATACATACATATATACTCCCAATGAAATGAAACTATTTCAGTCAGAAACAACAATATCAACAATAAACAACAAAATGACACTGAGGATACGATATTCATGTAGACAGTAAAAAGAAAAACAAGCTACTTAAATAAAAAGATAGTAGTTATTAATATTATTCTTAAAAGAAAGTATATACACATATAATGTATAGTTGAACAAAGAGAATACCAAAGGGTAGAAAAAGGATTTTTCTTTCTCTGATTAACTGATTCAGACTATATAAACAATAAAACTGGTAATAAATGATAATAGAAAGACTAAGGATGAATAATTGATGAGATTAACAATAATAACTGTTATATATGTATACAGAGAGAGAGAGAGAGAGGAAAGGGCAAGACAGGATATCAATATTCTAAAAAATCAAATGAAAATCATACTGAGAAGTTTAGATTATAAATAGAGATGTTTTTACGTTTACCTAGAGAAGTGACACATATCGAGTATGGATTTTAATACAATTATACTGTTTACATGAACACATGAATACATTGGTCATGAGTGCTGTTAGAGGTATGAGAGCAGTTATCACTTCCCGGTTGCCCACACCGTGGAAGGGTTCTTCTGGAGGTACCTGTAAACGAAATTGGGTTAGAAGTGGTCTTAATAGCCGGAAAGCGTAACCGCAGTGCCTAACGGACAACTGCTTGAGGTCGGTCACACACGACCATTTTGTGGGTAGTTTTTGTGTTAGCTCCGTACTTGTTGGGACCCTACCGCCGGAGAAGAATATCTGTGGGATAAGGCAAGATGTTCATTTTTAGGGTCGACCTATTCTAACCACACCCCTCATTGTGGGAAGGCAGCATCGCTGTCATGCTGGTTGTCTGAAGGAAACACCTTACTGGTGTCACATCTCTGTAAAGTCAGCAGTACGACTTGGGTTTACTGCTTTTAGTCTTACCGCTCTTCAACCGACTTGCCTGGCATGGTAAGACCTTGTGGAACGATTGTTCCAGTCAGTATAGCTCGATTGGTTCATCATGATAGGCAAGCCCGACCACCACGTCAAGGTAGCAGCAACAGTCGGGATACTGTTTACATAGAATGAATGGAATGTAACTAGCAGTAGAATCCACGATGCTCGTTCCTTTCTGTTTGGCAGTTGTCTTTCAAATGTACCTGCATTCCAGACTTGATTTTCACTCCGGTATTCTAACTCAGTATCTTTCATTTCAGACACCAACGCTTTATCCACTTAACTACTGAGTTCAGATAGTTAATTATACAATGTGTATGAATTTATTTCAATTTTTAACGGTTCATATTATCTAGTTGTTGATGTTTCAACTGATATTTAATCAGCCTTACTGTGGATTTTGGAATGGACATCAATTCCGCGATGCTGGCATACTCTGTTGATGAATTTAGAATGGAACAAAATGTGCATCCTGAATTTCACTGCCAGCCATATTCTATCTATTCTATGTAAAATTGTATTATGATGGCTAATTCAAAGTAATACGCACAGGCTTCACATATTCCAATTAAGATTGATCAGTTATCAGTGGGGTGATCCAAACAGTTACGGATTTAATCAATTAGATGCGCACTGTTGAGGAGTCCCAAAATAGGACGAAACGGCCGTCAGTGCTTCCAGGTTTTCCATGGTGGTCTAGCTTCAATTGGCTCATGATTTAAACTATGAAAATACTAAATTCCCTACAAGACCCCTTCTGATTTATACTATGTTCAAATAATTTATAATTCGTAAATTTTGAAATTTAGATTACAAAAA